TTTTGTTACATACTTTGTGTTCCTGACACATTATTCATATCAGGAGTCACTCTTTGTGCTATTACCGTGCTCACGGGCGTCAAGACGTACATGTACACATGCGGAAATCTTTTAAAATGCTCAAAATTTTCTTTTTTAAAAAAACTAATTACAGCATATTTTAGCATATTATGACACTTTTCAATCAGCACCACGTGATCTTAATGAGGGTCAAATTGCGGCGGATCACCTAACTCGTCCTCAGTGACGAGTTCAAATCTAGTTTATTCTACATTTCTGTAAAATACCTGTTAGCACGATATCTCAAAATTGCCGTGAGCTATGCACATGTGCACTTCAAGGAACATTTTTACATTATCAATCATATCATCCTAATCAATTGTCATTTCTTATTCATATCTAGTAGGCATAAACTTTAGGTCAAATTGGAGTACCACGTACCAAAATATTTTGTGTGTGCGTTGTAGTATGCGCACACGTGCATCAAAACTTTAAAATGCACAAAATCACTTTTTGATTAAATTAGAGCCGATTTCAGGCCATTTTGAGCATTTCAAATTTTTAGAAAAATTTTCCACTACGCGAGCGTAAAAATTTTTGCGTGCGCAGCTCGTACGGAAGCGAGAAATTACATTTCTTTTTACATATTTTGGGTTTCTGACATTGTATTCATTAATTTCCATTCTTTTCAGTCATCTTATGGCCAATAGCAATGTCGTACGCGTGCATCAAACATAGGGATCTTTGCGCGCTTTTGTGCCGATATACAGTATGCTAAAATCAGGCCTATTTTTAATCAGTTATATCTCCTTAGGATGAAAGGTGACCTCCAATTTTTATTACATATTCTGAAAGCACATGAGTTGTAGATACGATTTTATAGATCATCATGGCTAATCGGACATTGTGACGTCATTATATTGCCCTCTGAAATTAAAAAACTGAAGTTTTATATATGATATTAATATTATGAAAGATAATAAGTCCCTCACCAACAGGCGTTTGTCAATGAGAGTTTATGCATATCTCATATCAGGAGTCAACATTTGTGACATTACTATGCGCACGTGCATAATGACGTGCGCGTACACGAGTAAATCTTTTAAAATGCTCCAAATTCTTTTTTAAAAAATGAATTAGCGTATACTTTAGGCAATTTTTAGCATTTAAAAATTGTTCGATCCGCACCACGCACACTTCTTTGAGGGTCAAAGTGTGACGGATCACATAATTCGTCCTCAGTGACGAGTTCAAATCTAGTATTTATATCTGTATTTATATTTTTGTGATGTGTATATTATATTGTTTTATTGTACAGTATAAGCACAGGAAAGCAAATTTCATGTTATTATATGCAGTGGCATATCTAGAAGTCTTGAAATGGAGGTGCTAATGGGGGCGCAAAGGTGAAGTGGGGAAGGGCTCGATGATCAGTTGAGGGGGCGCTACTTCGCAAAATAAGGCGATTTTTAACTACTTGAGCGTGATTTTTTGGGGGGGGGGGCACGACTGAGGCGCAAGTAATATTTTTTGGGGTGTGCACCCCCGCGCCCCTCCCTCCGTAGATACGCTATTGATTATATGTGACAATAAATTTATCTTGAATCTTAATGAGTAAGTACTACTGTAAAAAGCTTACCGAATAATTTCTATAAGATATATAACATTGTTGTTTTTTGTTTCCCCATGTTTTTTTTATTACCATATTTAACAAGAAGAAACACGTGAAAACAATAAATTACAAAATCACTCATACAAGCACTACATACAGGTTGTGGATTCAGTTGCTCCTTCCTTGCTGAAGTTCAGTTCCAAGTTCATGACAATTTGAAATGTTGACCTACCTAGTTTGTTAAAAAATTCATGCAAAACACCAATCAAGTCTGCCAAGGAAAGGTCATAGTCAGCAACAACGCCCTCTATCTGGTGAAACTCAGCCAAGTGAGTCGCATCCAGTGTCTCATTCCGGAACACACGGTCAATTGAGAAATACTTCACAGGGTGAAATTCTTCCAACTAATAAAATAGAATAGAATACACTTACTATGAACATAGGGCTTTTCCTCATTGACATAATGAAAACGTACGTTAAACTAGAAATTAAAAAATAAATGAAAAACAAAAATAAAATGTTTAACGCCGGTATTCTTAAAACGAACTTTAGTTGAACTTCTTGAACTAGAACCTCATTTAGTCTTGTTGTAACTTCTACTTAAATTTGTATCCATAAACAACATTGAAGTTCGTATGACTAATTCAAGTCCTAGTTTTTAGTTCAGCTGAAGATGGCTGGCAAGCAATGACTAACAAACTGACCAATGCAAAGAGCTAATTTTAATAGCAGACAAAATTTTAGAGATCCGGTATTAAACGCTGATAAATATTGAGCTGCCGTTTGTCGTTCAAAAACATAGTTTTTCATAATTCATAATAGACCATCATTCGCTTAATTAATTTTCTATAATAACAACTGATAACGATAACGATAGAAAAATTATTCTGTCACTAAATGGTTGAGCCCGAGTAAGGGCGGCGCCACCTTTGCTGTTGTTAGAGTGAAGCTACGTGGCCACTATGCAAGGACATTTTGCGCTGATCCTTGTAGATAAAGCAATAAAATCTTTGGATGTTGGAGGGTATTTCTCATAGAATAAAGTGTATCTCTTGTTATCCAAGTACCGTATATACTTGTGTACAAGACGACCCACATACAAGACGACCCCCCGAGTTTAGAAAGAATTTTGGAGGATTTTAGTACGTTGGGTCACATAAGACGAACTCCGTTTCACCGTCGGAATTCATATATTTTGCTGCCCTTTATGGTCTTGATACTACATGTAGCTTGCTAAAAACGGAGTCAAATGTAGGGCTACTCTTCAAAATATACAATGTTATGGGCTTTTATATGTTGATCAAAATTTTATTTCCCGGTATTGAAAATTGCGTTCATTCATATTAACATTAATAGGTTCATTGCAATAGTAAATTTGTATGTTACGGACGGTCTGCACATACGACCAACGTGATTTAAAAAACTTATATTTGTCGTGTGTATAAAATGACCGCCGTTTTTCAATTGTAATTTGATATGTTAAGCCTTGTATGCAAATATATATGGTATTACTGCAGTTTTGGTGAAGATGAGACAATACACTGGGAGATAAGTTACATATTTAATGTGCACATGGGCATAAAATAAATCAAAGGGCCAAAATGATTTTGCTTTAATACCGCATTATGCTCAGTTTTAATAATTACATTTGAAAGACGATCGACGTAGGGCCACTAAACAAGAGTTTATTACAGGCTGCAAAAAATTGCTGTCGGGTCGGATATTGTGCACCTGTGTTATAAATAAAGGTACCATCCTATTGAACTTGCCATGAAATCTCTGTAACTTGTAGTGTATTCCAAAAATACTGATTTATGGATTTACTTACATTTAATTATGTAGATGGCTTGACAGCGCTTTAGACAAAGTAGCTTAATAGTATAGGCTTTCATTAAAAATTGATTTAACACCTTGGTGAGTCTCTGTGGCACTCTAGATTTAACACCTGCAGTAAGTGAGGCTCATTGGCACTCTAGAAATCAGGCTTCCAATTAAAGGGAGCCACCCTTAATTATCATGTGAACATGAGATGGTGATTATAAACAACCATAATGGCTTGTAACTCAATTCATTAATGGTTTCTGCGATTCACTTGAGCTGTGTTACACTGATTTACCTGAGCTAGTTTATACAGCATTCGAGCACTGACAGCGGTAGTGTGTGTACGAAGAAGGTTCTTCTTTGCCTCTTCTATATTCCAGTCATACTTATATCTAATAAATTCCAAGACAACAACAAAAACAATGTATAAATGAACTACTGTATGATCAATCAAAATTTTATTTGATATAATTATTTTGTATTTCATCATCAAAAGTCAAAAACCGATTAAATGTTCAAATAGTAAAAATATATATAAAAATATTCAGAGTAAGAGGGTTATTTGATTTGATTATTTCTATAATTTGCGCTATAAAAATGTTTAATTATTGTTATTAAGCTGTTAAGCCTTTTGGCATTAAAATGTATTAAGACATGTGTGGAGGAGATTGTAATGGACTGTTCAAGGATGTCAACCAATCACAACTGACCACTCAGAACACCGCAATGATTATGCACTTGTCTCACAAACACGCGTGTCCCACAAATGCACATGTTCACATACGTTTATGCTATCATTTTGTGGGACCTTAACGACAATATCCAAGGGGGCAGGGCTTAGTGGAAAGTTCTATTTTTTAATGGGGATTATGAGTATGTGTATTCAGGTTACACAATTCTTATGTCATTCGGAATAAATTGTAACCGGCTCTGGCAAAACCAGTCGTTTGTAGGAAAAATTAGAAAATGAGTTGTTAGTGTTCTCAGATTCTGCATTAATTCTTCTTTAATACAGTGCTTATTTGATGGAAATTGGTTGAGTAGTATTAGCAAAGTTATGAATATTTAATTCATTAGATATCAGTCATGCAGGTTTTTAGAAAACAGCTTCCAAAGATGCCAAAATCAATAGATTATTGTATTTTAAAAATACTTTTAATATACTTTTTAGTTGGATTAAGTGATTGTTATTTTTCAGAAATGTTCTTCAATATATCTTCTTTTATAAAATGCAAAAACTTGAAAATGTTCAAAATTATGATTATCAGCTATTTTGGGTGCTGGTAGGAAATTTCAAATTGCAACAAACAGAGGGTTTTGCCAGAGCTGGGCACAACTTTTATCCATTTAGTTGCCCGTGCAACAGATACTAACTAAAATTGGCGGCAGTGCTTTCTCTGTAATATAAGGCCCAGAAAGAGATCTCTTTATTTATACACGGCAAAACCCAAATTCAACGTAGAAAATACAATAATTAAAAAAAAAAAAATAATAATAATTATATAAAAATTAAAATATTAACAATAAATTCATCACAACAAATATTATCAATAATAATAATAATAATAATAACAATAACAACAGAAAATTACAGATAAAAAACCTATTCAATTTAAGGTAAAACATTAAAAGAAACGAGAAGAATTCTCATAAACAGATTAAAAAAAATAAGATATAAGATTCAAAAAGGCAACTCACACAGAATTTCAGAAAGATAACACATTTCAAACAAACACGGAAACAAGCAAACACAATCATCAGTTCATAAAAGTTTTAAAATTTGGAATCATTCAATTTTATTTTAAACTCGCAGAGACATTTTGAATTTTTCAGTTTTTCATCGAAAGAGTTTTTTTGTTTATATTTAGTTCTTGGAACACCAATATAATAAGAAGGTAGCCAACAAAAAAAAATCTTTCCTGAACAGCAGAAGAAAATCTTTCCTGAACAGCAGAAGAAAATCTTTCCTGTATTGTGGACAATAATTTTCAACTTACCCTTGTGAGCCAAAGCCTCCTTCCGAGTGGACTTTTTTTACCCTCTCCAGGTAATCCATCGGGAATTCTGTGGCATACATTGGATCTATGAGATAAACAAAATAGAACAATGAAACAGTTGATTTGGTTTTTGTAATTCCAAACATATGTATCTTAGAACAGCAAACTTTTGACTTTACAGCCTACATGAGATACTAGATCAAGCCTCGGCCCAGCTGTTTCAGGGACCAACATACGAAAGCCTATAGCATGAAATTCTGATAGTGAAAATTACCTCCATTTTCTTATAATTTGCAATAATTATACTGTATTCGCTATATCAATGTAGCAGATTTACTAAAACAAATCTTTGATAAATTTTTCTTCTGACCACAAAATTTGCAGCCCTCCAAAAATGTTTTGTGGCCCAAAATTGGGCTGTGGCCCTTAAGTTTGCATCGTTCGTCTGTTATGTTAGAACGTTCATCAACATTGAGACGCTCAACACATTACAGCACATCATATATTGTAACAGACATATGTTCTACATTCTGTTCCCATTCATTGATTGGTAACTGACTAATTGATTGTCTACTACATACCTTGGATAAAAAATGTGTCATGGGCATCCCTTGCAGGATGTTGCTGCGGCTGAAAAAGGGCATCAAAATTCCAGAAGGAACTCTCAACATAATTATTCGTCGGCATTTCCGTGAATCTAAGAGCGAATGAATAAAATTATTTATCTTGTTCCAGTTCTTAAATATAAATGAGATTAAGGCTCTGGATTGAAAAAAAAAATTGAATGTAGTGCACCAGATTTTTCTGACACAATAAAAGGTATTTGACGAAAAACTTGGAATGGTAAATCAGAAACAGATTTTTGAATATTCAACAGGGGTGGATTTAGAGGGGGGGGGGGTGGTGTGCAGACCGGGTCCGGCCCACCTTTTTGGAAGTTAAAAAAAAGAAGAAAAAAAGAAAGAAAAATGGAAAATTGACCGCCCAAAATGCCTCAGAGGTTATTTTCAGGTGTTTTTCAAAACCATAAGCACTTACATGAACCAGAGCATCTGGGTAACTATTAAACCAATTACTCTTCTAAAAGAATAAAGATGCAATTGGGTTTCTAAAGTGCACACGAGCCATGGATCTACATTGGACCTGCATGAAGAGACTTAGATGTACCAAGTAAACCCTGGGCAAAGAGCACCTCAAACCAGCGCCAACGTTAAGGCTGTAGTTAGCGACATCCATACACAATGAAAAGAAAAAGTTTGAAAAGTAGTCCCGCAGTACTTACCCCATTTCTAAAAAGATTTGTCGGAACTCAGCTCGCACTTTCATAAGAGGATGAAGATGCCCCGACACTGGCATGACTCCCATTGCATTGAAATTATAGGCTTTAAAATTCTGCTCCTTCCACGAACCACTAACAAAACAAATCAAATAATTTATAATTTATCACAATTATTATAATCATATGTTTAACATGTTGGCTGCCAGCGTTGAGTATACTCGTCCCACAGGGTGTTGTTGAGGGTGCCAGGAACGAGTATACTCGTCAAAATCGGGGTAACATTCTAGCGTTTATTACTTCTTTGTTACATATTGTAGAACCAGAGACTTAACGGATGGTAGTTCGGGGAAGATAACCCTAGACGATAACGTGCAGGTGACATATGTATGTTTGTTGTGTTATGTTGCCGGTAGTACACTCAAGCAGCACAAGTGGGGGAATCCTTTGAACATATACCAATCCATGCAAAGAGCAGACGAGATAAACTCGCACTTGGCATAGTCAATAAAAAGTGCTGTCACAGTGCCGTCGATGAGTTTAATCATCCCCTAATATTTTTCGGCCAATTTATTAGACATATCATTTTGATGATATATGACTAGATAAAATTTTGTACATGTAAACTTGTTCTGGCACATAGGAAGGAACCTTAAAAAAAGGTCTGGCAGTCGACGTGTTAAAGCAAAACATCCTTTTAAATTTTACATTTGAAAATTAGGCTAATTTATTTATTTATTTTTTTTTACCTGGAGAGCATCTCTGGTGTTAAATCGGTTTCCAACTTGCTGACTGAGAGACAGAAGTTCACACCCTTTGATACTTTGAAACTCTTAACAACTCTGTAAAAATGAAGTGGAAAAATTGAATTATTACAAATGAAATTCTACTAAATAATATAATACTGTAAAACCTTGAATAAAAGCCCAATGGGCTTAACCTCGAGACGCCATCTCGAATTGAAGCCCCCTTTTTAGTTTGCAAAAGTAGCCTCAGAAAGAAGCCAGTCTCGAAAGGAAGCCCATGAGCCTCTTTTTCATGGTAGTACAGTAGGCCTACAGTACACTGTACGTGAATTCCAAAAGAAACAAATAATTAAAAACCTGCTTGGCTTGTACAGTAGTTTAGATGATTTAATGCCAGTTAATACACTCCATGATACAGACAGACTTATTTATTGTTTTATACTAGTAATTCCCAAAATTTACAGCATTCATTTTGAAAAGAAGTCCAGCTCTCAAAGGTCTAAAAAAAAGAAGCCCAGGGCTTCTATTTGAGGTTTTACGGTATATAACAAACATTAATAATATATTACTAAATGTCAATTTGTCCAAGTATACAATTAATATATGTAACATGTATATAGTGATAATAATCTGCTAAAAATGGAATAAACTCTAATATAATATAAAAAGTAGCTCCAAAATATTCATTCAGTATAAAATGTCTGACTTCTATGCATCATTTGTATATTTCAATTTACCTTAAAAAATACAAATGTCAAATCTTTGTTAAATATTTGCTTTAAAAAATAAAAAAGATCATTCTACAGTAATGTATTATAATAGTTATTCTCCTTAGTTAAAAAGAAATTGTAAACCAATTTTCAAATACAATGAAATATATAAATACTTGATTCCAGTCCATAAATGTTGTCATAATTAGTGAAAACGCGTAAAAATAAATCAATTTTGGCATCAATGGCGTTCCATAGTACTTATTTGCATGGCATTTATACTATAATTTCTGTTGGTTTCTAATTCCCATCCAAGATTCAACAACATAACATGTTTCTCGACATGAACAGACGCTGGTAGTGCTCTCCGAAACTATCTAATACTAAGAAAAATAAATAAATTGGAAAGTTGTGGGAAGCCTAGTAATACCAAAGAGTATAGGATTGCTGTAATACCAAAGCACTTTGAAAATTAGTGCTCCGTACTCAAAAGTGATATTTATTAATTTGACACCCATAGTTGACACCAAATCATAAGAAGCAGACAGGGCATGACATACCAAAAACAGTGGTTATGAACACATAAACTTCATTAATTTTTATAAGCAATCGAACAAAAACATTCTTCTTAAGTATTATTTTTTGCACTTACACTTCCATAATTAGTTTCCTTTTCTTCAACTCATTTCTTTCTTTATCTGGAATCGAATCAATTCCTCCTGCTTGGACTTTCATCACCTGTTCTTTTGCTATGTCTTCTATTGAGGTAACCTAAAATATATAATCTTAATCTGCTCACTTGTTCTGCACATAGAGACTCGTATTTTGTGCAATATAAATGAATAACCTTTAACCTTTAATCATAACTTCCTCTAGCTGTAGAAACTAAGGCTGGGCGTGGAGGTCGATATTTTAAGGGTGGGTGGTGATAACATTGGTAAAGTGGATTTTAAGGATGTGCAACGGGATTAATCTATAATATAGGTGGGTGGAGGGCCATGGTACTATCTTTAGACTGGGTGGAAATTTTCAAGTTGGGTTCCCGTGAATAAAGAAATTGCCGTAAATTACCGTACGTAATTCCTAAACGTAGTCACTGTCATGACTGATCCGTCCAGAAACTCCCAGGCTAATCATGATTGGTCAATAATATCGGTGATTAGCTTGATCATGCAGTTGGCCTAACGACTGATGCTTTAAGTTGTTTTTTAAGAAATAGCGCCAACTATCTTGGTAACATTGAGTGCTCTACTGCCTGATGATTCTGCAGCACCACAGCCATTTTTCTTGCAGATTTTCTTGTTATTTCGACCAATGGATAACAAAATTAATGTGTTTTTTTTTTTTTCCAAATATCATATAAGTAATTACGTTTACATTTAAATGTAGCATTATTTTGTTTTGTTATTTTGAATTCCACATTATGTATTGCTTTTATGTTTATCGTTTCAAAACGATAAAAATAATTATTAATAATGGATGCTGTTACTGTAAGCTTATGTACATTGTTATGTGCAAAAATACTGGTTGCCTAGAAACTGTAACTATAGAAATTCAGTATGGAAACTTCCTGCGAATATGTTCCCACGGTACTCTAATGAGAAGCAAAGACACAGCACTCAGTAGAGTACAAAGCTACGAATTAACATAATAAGTCAGGTGCTAAAGAGTTCACTATACACATGTAATTCGGGTAGTGAAGGGTTAATTTCGTTCGCCTATGTTTATACCGCTTCTTATACGTTATTTGTGTAACAATCAGGGGTGGTGTCATGCCCCGGCAGGTGGTGGTCCAGTCCAATGTCCTCGGGGGCGATAGTTTTTTTCCTGACGATTTGTGGCTTTCCACCTCATATGACGCCACCTCTGGTAATAATTCAAAGTGTATATTTAACAGCCAGGCGTGGAATATATTGTAGCCTCCACTACTTTTAGGCCCTTTACGAAAGGGTTTCTCGCTTACGACGTCCTTTATTTTTTCCAGCTTGCATGGTTGTGGAAGATCATAACTTGCTTTTTACAATCATTTTTTTTCGGCGCTGATTTGACTAACTAGGCTGTAAATATAGGCCTACAGATGAAGGCCCAGCATTTGCAAACCATTATGACAATGTTCTCAAGTTCAATTTACAATCGATTTGATATAGTTTCTGGCGCTCCGCAAAAGCCATGCATTTTTTTTAGTATTACTGTTACCTAGCATAGGTCACATGATTTGAGTCGCCGATTGTGTCTATTGATTTCAACAAATCGTAGAGACAAGCGTAGCCCCATTCACCTCACGCACAATAACTACATCCTGGTGTTAATGTGAATCAATTCAATTCAAAACACTCCTTTCATATTAAGTCTATCATAATACAATACAATGTAAATGTTTAAAGCCTGGTATACAATCGGGGAAAAAAAATCTACTGTAATAAACAAACTACAGATAATGCAATGTTAAAATAAAATGCGAGGCCTCACCACAAAATGGGATGCATCGTTGGTGAAATCATATTGAGATATTCACCTAAATGGGTCAAAGTCAAAATTTGAATGTTTTTGAATAACTTGATATATTTTATGATTGTATACTTTCTTTCCAAAAAAGTGTTCTCTGCACATACAGTATTCTGTAATTCTAGTCCTATTATGTGCACAGGTTAGTTTATCTTTGAGGCCAATTTTCAGCAAATGTGGTTCTCATACAGTATACCTAAACTTTAAATGCTCACATCTCTCGATCTACTTATCCTTGGGAAGCCCTTCAAAGACCAAATTGATGCTTATAATATGATCTACCCATATATAATATAATATAAATTTTTGATTATCTAACCATGAGACTCATTTTGTGGTGAGACCTTGCTAATACGATTACAGTAAAGGTATAAAAATAATAATGATAGTGAAAAAATTTAAAATGCACTTAAAAGCAAGTAAAACATTAATAGATGATACATAAGAGATGTATTGTTTCCTTATTGTTCTATTATTATTCTGTAATTTTAGTATTCTTATTTAGGGACCACAGTGGAAAAAAGTTTTCTGTTCTGTGTTTTTATTCTTGAATGTTTTTTACTTATTACTTCAAAATGAATAAATAAAATAAAAATAAAGATGAAAAAACTATTAAATGAAGATCAAGGTCATGTTTAGCTACTTTTAAATTATGAATTTGCAATAATATTGAAGTCATTATATATCATTAGCTATATAGATTAATTACCTCACACCGAGTTAATACGATAAGGCTATCAGTGAAAACAATTCAATTTGGCATTCCTAAACGTATCACTGACATGACTGATCCATCCAGAAACTCCCACGCTAATCATGATTGGTCAATAATATCGGTGATTAGCTTGACCATAGAGTTGGCCTAACGACTGATGCTTTAAGTTGTTTTTTAAGAAATAGCACCCACTATCTTGGTAACATTAACTGTTTTACTGCCTGATGATTCAGCAGCACCACAGCAATCTTTCTTGCAGATTTTCTTGTTATTTTGACCAATGGATAACAAAATTAATGTGTTTTTTTTTTTTGGTTGGTCAATAATATCGGTGATTAGCTTGACCATAGAGTTGGCCTAACGACTGATGCTTTAAGTTGTTTTTTAAGAAATAGCACCCACTATCTTGGTAACATTAACTGTTTTACTGCCTGATGATTCAGCAGCACCACAGCAATCTTTCTTGCAGATTTTCTTGTTATTTCGACCAATGGATAACAAAATTAATGTGTTTTTTTTTTTTGGTTTTTTTTTTTTTTTCCAAATATCATATAAGTAATTACGTTTAAATTTAAATGTGGCATTATTTTGTTTTGTTATTTTGCATTTCATGTTATGTATTGCTTTTATGTTTATCGTTTCAAAACGATAAAAATAATTATTAATAATGGATGCTGTTACTGTAAGCCTATGTACATTGTTACGTGCAAAAATACTGGTTGCCTGGAAACTGTAACTATAGAAATTCAGTGGGGAAACTTCATGTGAATATGTTCCCACAGTACTCTATGAGAAGCAAAGACACAGCACTCAGTAGAGTACAAAGTCATTTCAGTATTTTGTTACAGTTCAGGAATGTACGCGCTACGCATTAACATAAATAGGTCAGGTGCTAAAGAGTTCACTATACACATGTAATTTGGGTAGTCAAGGGTTTTCGTTCGCCTATGTTTATACCGTTTCTTATACATTATTTTGTGTAACAATCTGGGGTGGCGTCATGCCCTGGCAGGCGGGGTCCAGTCCAATGTCCTCGTGGGCGAGCTTTTTTCCCGACGATTTGTGGCCTTCTACCTCATATGACGCCACCTCTGGTAATAATTCAAAGTGTATATTTAACAGCCAGGTGTGGAATATATTGTAGCCTCCACTATTTTTTAGGCCCTTTATGAAAGGGTTTCTTGCTTATGACGTCCTTTATTTTCTCCAGCTTGCATGGTTGTGGAAGATAATGCTTTTACAATCATTTTTTTCGGCGCAGATTTGGCTAACTAGGCCATAGATATGGGCCTACAGGTGAAGGCCCAGCATTTGCAAACCATTATGACAATGTTCTTAAGTTCAATTTACAATCAATTTGGTATAGTTTTTGGTGCTCCGCAAAAGCCATGTATTTTTTAGTATTACTGTTACCTAGCATAGGTCACATGATCCGAGTCGCCGATTGTGTCTATTGATTTCAACAAATCATAGAGACAAGTGTAGCCCCATTCACCTCACCCACAATAACTACATCCTTGTGTTGATGTGAATCAATTCAATTCAATACAATACATTCATATTCAGTCTATCATAATACAATACAATGTAAGTGTTTGAAGCCTGGTATACAATCGAAAAAAAAAAAAAATCTACTGAATATTCAAACTACGGACTATGCAGTGTTACAATAAAATGCAAAGCCTCACCACAAAATGGATGCATCGTTGGTGAAATCATATTGAGATATTCACCTAAATGGGCCAAAGTCAAAATTTGAATGTTTTTGAATAACTTGATATATTTTTAATGATTGTATACTTTCTTTCCAAAAAAGTGTTTTCTGCACATACAGTATTCTGTAATTCTAGTCCTATTATGTGCACAGGTTAGTTTATCTTTGAGGCCAATTTTCTGCAAATGTGGTTCTCATACAGTATACCTAAACTTTAAATGCTCACATCTCTCGATCTACTTATCCTCGGGAAGCCCTTCAAAGACCAAATTGATGCTTATAATATGATCTACCCATATATAATATAATATAAATTTTTGATTTTCTAACCATGAGACTCATTTTGTGGTGAGACCTTGCTAATACGATTACAGAAAAGTATAAAAATAATAGTGATAGTGAAAATGCACTTAAAAGCAAGTAAAACATTAATAGATGATACATTAAGAGATGTATTGTTTCCTTATTGTTCTATTATTATTCTGAAATTTTAGTATTCTTATTTAGGGACCACAGTGGAAACAAGTTTTCTGTTCTGTGTTTTTATTCTTGAATGTTTTTTACTTATTACTTCAAAATGAATAAATAAAATAAAAATAAAGATGAAAAAACTATTAAATGAAGATCAAGGTCATGTTTAGCTACTTATAAATTATGAATTTGCAATAATACTGAAGTCATTATATATCATTAGCTATATATTTTACAAAACTTACTCCTTTAGAAAAAAAATATTTGAGTTTGAATGAATTTAGTACAAACCTTTCTTTTAACTCTAGGCCCTCCTTCAGCTTTTTTGTCCATTATCAACCAACCGGCAGACATTGCTTTGCTAAACCCTATCTTTGCATTTGGAGATGTTTTCTGTTAACAAATTACAAACAATACACATTTTTATATCAGCAAATCATCATACCAAGACCTCTATGCCCTTCACATTCCTACTGTACCCTCAGGGGTACATTTAGGGAGGGGACCGGGTCGGGCCAGCCCCCCTCTTTTTGGAAAGTAAAACAATAAGATACCATTGTCAATTACTGTAAGCTCATATGGCACACTGAATTGTTGCAGTTCAGTAATCAGTGCATCAGTGTTTGACCATAATAGGTATACACTTATGGTCCTTGGTGGAGAGACAACCGTACCTGTAGATAAAGCACCTACTCTAAAGCACAAACGATTTGCCCACCATGAGTTCAACCCAAACTCATGGTGGAGAGCTTAAATTGAAACTGCTGCAAAGACTGCCCCCAAGTATCTTCTTTAAAATTGGTCAATACTTAAAATCTTCTTATTTAATGTTATAAAAGATTACTAAATTGTAATAATGTGCTCCCATACCTACAACTGTAAAAAAAAAAAAATCCCACTAGTTTAGTTTTTTTTGTTGTATCTGAGTAGATTATTGTAAAACTAGCTGAAAACTATTTTATAAAAGTAATTTCTTGAATCACAGCTACCATGAGTTCTTCTTGTAACATTCCTTCCTCTGCTGAAACAGCTTCAAAGACACAGGCTTCATGGCTGCCATGTTCCAAGAACAACTTTCCTTCCTCAGTCAATTGCCAATGTTTGTTGGAAACTTGCTCTGTTTGAATGACCTGTACAAATACAGTAATATAAATTTACAAGATTAAAATAGCATTGGCCACATTGTAGATGTTTGTAAAAAATTAATCATTCTTGCCTCAATCTTAGCCATCCAATTGGTTGAAAGTGAGGGAATAAAATTATTGTTTTTAGTATGCCTCTAAAGGAACATTATTCAATTTTTTCAACCCAGAATCTGACTAATATTAATATTAGTTGATTAAATCAAAATAAGCAATTATCTAGGCTACTCTCGTGTATTAAAAATCAAATTAAAAATTAAATACTACTTATTAAAACATACTTAATTAGTACAATAAATAATATTTTGTCCGGTATTAGGTGTTGGGTTGAAGTTGTCCTAGCCTGAGCTCGGGGCCTAGAGATAATTATTATTATAAGTCAATCGTGACGTCATCATTGCAACAAATTTAGATGTAGGCCTACGGCCAGGCAGAAGGCTACCCGGGCCTCCTCCTACTACTACTAGGCTGTAGCCTATGCCTAGTTATGAAATCATCGCACGAAACTCATCTCATCGGATGTTGCCATGTGCGAGAGTGCCAGCAGACCAAGAAAGCGAAAGCTTCATTACACGACGATACCACAGTTAGGCCGCGTTGCGCGATTGAAGCTGAAAGCAACGTAGTGCAGAAGTTCGGCTTATGAGTTAGAAGCAAAGAAAAATGTATTTTCAGAATATATTCAATCCATTCGACTGCCCCAATATTACTTTTAAGCAACTATAATATTATGTCTAGAATGTTGTTATAATGATTACTTTCTGAGTAATTATTCCATTTATTAACGAATACCTCAAAACGTTCGTCAAATTTAGCCTAGCCTCACCGTGGGGTAAACAGAAAATTCACAGGCTTATTCGAGGCCCTTCATACCGACGGAGGCGATGATGTCGCCACACTCTTGCACTTTCTTGGCCTAGCGCGCTCGCACATGGCAACCCGATGAGAAGAGTTTAAAAATTGAATAAAAATAGAAAAAATAATTTTTCTTCACTTTTCATTTTTGTTGTCAATTTCTAATATACGTAAATATGTCATATGTGATTTTCATCCATGTAGCTTACATATTTTTGGCACAACAAAAATAAATACAACCCAGACAGTGTATTAAGATAGGCCTAGTCTTCAGTTAGGACGCAGCCGGCGTTTCAGCCAGGTCCAATCAATGTAAACATTGCAAGGGGTCTATTATTATACAAAAAATAACAAATTAATTATAAGATATAGTTTTGATAAACAATCATAACAATCACAGCTATATCTCATTAACAATAACTAACAGCCAAGTGTGCATTTCCAAACAATACAAGCGGCTAATACAGATATGGTGAAAACGAATTAACGAATACCTCAAAACGTTCGTCAAATTTAGCCTAGCCTCACCGTGGGGTAAACAGAAAATTCACAGGCTTATTCGAGGCCCTTCATACCGGCGGAGGCGATGATGTCGCCACACTCTTGCACTTTCTTGGCCTAGCGCGCTCGCACATGGCAACCCGATGAGAAGAGTTTAAAAATTGAATAAAAATAGAAAAAATAATTTTTCTTCACTTTTCATTTTTGTTGTCAATTTCTAATATACGTAAATATGTCATATGTGATTTTCATCCATGTAGCTTACATATTTTTGGCACAACAAAAATAAATACAACCCAGACAGTGTATTAAGATAGGCCTAGTCTTCAGTTAGGACGCAGCCGGCGTTTCAGCCAGGTCCAATCAATGTAAACATTGCAAGGGGTCTATTATTATACAAAAAATAACAAATTAATTATAAGATATAGTTTTAATAAACAATCATAACAATCACAGCTATATCTCATTAACAATAACTAACAGCCAAGTGTGCATTTCCAAACAATACAAGCGGCTAATACAGATATGGTGAAAACGAACACAAGCCTGGCATATGCCACAAAACGGGCTGACGGTGGTGTAAAGCTTCCTGTCCGTACGTACCACAGCATAGTACAACACACGTTACTTAGCCTAGCTAACGGAACAAATTCAGCAAAAAACAGCAAAGTCAACTTACATCTCCGAGAGATCTAAGACTATTTACTGCTCCAACTATCTGCTGATGGTCTTTTTCCAGAAGTGAGGCTATTTTAACAGTATCTATAACTACATATTCGTTTACAAGTTTCAGAACCTCTACGCCCAGTGCGTCCGCCATCATGAAATGGTTGCCAGTGTTTTCATGCTATGTTCAAGAAATTGCATCATTTTTTTTTTTTTTAGATAATAATCAATCGTACTGGAATTTCCCTGACTCCCCACTTTTATTCTTATATCATCTAAGCACCGGCTCCTACTAGATTATAATATCTGGTTTTCACAACCTTTTTTTTCAATCGTTTTCCTTTAAATTCACTGAAATGGCAAAGTTAATAAACAATATATAGAACAATACATGAAGTAGAAAAATGTGCTTATCAAATTGAAAAATGTTTTTAATTTTTACGGCGGTACGGCGGTGTATAAAGACCAATAGAAAGTATATACTCTATAATAATAGTCTAATCATGCTTATGTGTTGTTTCAGGTATTCTCTAAAATTAATCAATTTTTTTTGAGGTTTTCAAGATCACCCTGGCTCCATGTCATTGGAGGTTGAATTTTTTTTTTTAACTCTTTAAACTTTCAGATTAACAAATATTTTCCTCATCCAATACTTACTAAACAACCATCTAATAATATTTGCATAGATTAAACAAACGGTAGGTGGTTTATTTTGATCAGTGTGTCTTAGCATGATTCTTTGAAAGAACAATTGAATATTGTAATTAATTTGTTGGATATTTCACCACACCACCAGAGGCTGACTTGGGGGGGGGGAGTGGGGGAAGGGCAAACCGGTCCGGTGTCCCTTTAAAAGTTAAAAAAGAAAAATAAAAAAATAAAAAAATTTATTGATCACCCAAAAGGTTCAGAGGTCATTTCCGTCCATTTAGAAAACCAAAATTTTGTGGGGATATCCCCCCCATCTGTGTAGTGTCACCTCTCGATCGGTCCCCTTTGGGGCCCCTTCCGGACATCTCTGGGCCCACCCCTGAGTACATATCTTTATCAAATCTGGCTTGTCACTATCATAGTTCAACATCCATCAAGTCATTTTTATTGATTTTTTTTTTAATACTGGTTTTTAATGAACAATAAAATGCTAATTTCTATGCAAGACAATGTAACAAAAACATATCAAAACAACATTTAGAATTTCAAATATATTTTGAATGTAATCAAGAATATTATATTCAACTTTTGATATTTAGAATATATTACACAATTAACATAATAAATGTTCAAGTTTTCAACTTCATCTGAATAATGCACGATCATGTCTTCAGATCTAATTGCAGGACCACCTCCAATTAAAAACAACTTTTCTGTGGTCCCATATAAACAAATGTCTTTTATCTTTATTATTCTAATTAGAGACCAAAGCTGCTAAGACCATGGAAAACTGGCTGGTCCCAAAAGTGGTCTTTTTGGAGGGGCTGTATCTGTCATATAAAATGACAAATATTAATAAACAAATCAAGAATTTCACTATCACCAAAAAGAATAATGTAGTTTTATATAAAAAACTATGTTCGAATTTTACAAAATATGATAAATATTTTTTAATATATTGTTAGCTAACACCCATGTACACACAAGTGGTTCCTATTTCAAACACCCAGCACCACATGTCTGATTAAATTTTTGTTCGCTTGGGCGTACATTTGTGTAGTTAGCCAATCAATATCAATAATTGAATCAAAAACAATTGATTTATTTATTTATCAAGCAATATAGGATTGATATCAATCAAAATGGATATATCAATTAATAAAACGTACTTAACCCACAAAGGTAAAAATGAATGAAATTTAAAATACTGTATATTCTCGCGTATAAAACGACCCCCAAGTTTTAGATGATTTTTTTACGTCGGGCGTATAAGATGACACACCCCCACGCCCCCCCCCCCACACCGTTTCATGGTTGAAATTCCTATTTTTTCTGCTTTTTATGGTCCTGATGGCATCTAGATGGCTAAAAATGGAGCCAAATAAAAGGCTAACCTTCCAAATAATACAATTCTAAGAGTTTTTAAATGTTTATCAAAATCTTATTTTCCTGTATTCAAAATTACGTTCATTCATACTAACATTTAGCAGCTTATTGTAGTAGTAAATTTGCGTGTTACGGAAGAACGGTACAGAAGACAAACATGATTTAAAAATTCTAAAATTTGTATGTCGACCACCTGTTTTTCAATTGTAGTTAGCTATTTTAAGCCCTGTCTTATACGCGAGTATATATGGTGCATATTACAAAACAACACACATAACCAACACTGAAAAATATAACCACATAATCATATGAGAGTATAACAAAATTTAAAGAAAATAATTAAAATTTAACATACATTAACTGCTTTTCTGCAAAAATTTCTTCAATATTAATCAATCAATTACTCAATATCAATAAATGCAAAATTAAATTAATTAATGGTAAATGTAAATAATATCAATCAATAAATATTAATTTAGTTAATATTGATCAATCAATAAGTAATATGCTATCAATATTAGTGAAAAAAATAATATTATCCAATATCAATCAATATAAATTAATATCAATCAATCATTATCAATCAATATCAATAGTCAATTAACATCAAGCAACAATAACTAATATTAACCAATAATGTCAATTATTTGATATTAAATCATTTTACGAGTTGTTAAACCTTTAGAAGCACATTATTTTATTGTAAAGGAGGGAAACTGAATGTTAAATTGAGGGCGCATATGGGCAAAAGGATGTTCATTAAGCTAACAATTTAAAATATGGTGCAATTATTTTATCTTTACCGGAATTCTAATTTGAAAACATGCAAGCCAATCATCTACACAGACTCATTAAATCAACAAGAACTATTATTTAGATCTTATGTAAATACTATACAATATTGCATAAAAACTATACAGTATTTTGTAAATATTATACATTTTCGCACATTTTCCTCATTGTTTCAACATGTGCAGATTTCCTCAGAAATATACATTATACTGTAAATAGTTTTCATCATTTTCCTATATATTTACATCTTTTCTTTCCATCTCTTCTTTCTGTCAAATATAATAATTACATCATGATTGGCAGTTGATAGAAAGCAAGCTCAACATTTAAAATGTAGATGTTGTGTTTATATCAACAATAATAAAAATAAATATATATAAATAAATAAATAATAATAATAATGAAATTATCTCTATGCACTGTTTCATAAAACAGAACCTAAGACTATCAAGGAACTGAGAAACAATCAGAACAACAATAATAATGGTGTCAACAATTTATGTTCACAACACATAATGCTCACTGCACTCTTACAGTCACATGGCCAGAAAAGTCACTGAATGCAAGACATAACAACGTGTGTTGAAGAAGGTTGAAGTGTCAATGGAAAATTTGACAAGTGAGTAAATTTTTGTGTGGTGAACATTAGTTTAAATCGTATTACCTTTACTACCAACTCAGATGTGCTTTCATACTAGTAATAATAATATAATAAAAATAACCAAAATATAATTAGTTGTACCCCAGTATCCATTGGGATAAATGCAGTGGTAAAAATGCATTGAAAGTATACTGTACTGTCTGAATGTCTAATTGTATTAGCTCAATACTCGCAGTGTATATTTAAAAGAGAAAACACTCAACACTAAAAAAGCAGAAATAACAACTTGCTTGGGAAAACTGTTGTATAGTCCAATTCTATATTGGCTGTCCCTAATTCCTGATGATGACATAATTAATGTCGAAATATTGAATCCCAACAAGATGGCGTGTATTTCAATACTTGGAGTATGTATTATACTTTTTTATCTGTCCCTAATTATTATAATAATATAGTAGTATTGCAGTAGGAAACCAAGAACACAAACACATGCATCAAAATTGATGAAAGACTTTATCTAATGAATACAGATTGAGATGTAAATTCAGATTGGCTTGTATTAATTCCTTTGGAGTATATTTTTATATCATAGTGGAGGTGAACTAGTGCCTCAAACCATGGATAAAACAGTGCCCTCAACACATAGATAAAATAGCGCCCTCAAACATGGATAAAATAGCGCCCTCAATCCAACTCCAATGGAGTAGACAGTGGGTAAGTGCCATCAAATAATGCCCTATACACCATCGAGGTACAACAGCACCTCACATCATGGATTAAAACAGTAGCACTAAATTAGGGAGTGTGCCTCTACAAAAAGTTTCACATAATTAGTGTTCATCTATCCAATTTGTTATGATGGATAGGCAGGAATTTTTCACTAGCAAACCAGTAAAATACACAAACGTAGGTGTGTATTTTAACATATGAATTATAAATTCTGAGTATCTTGCATTTACTGTTGCCAGGCTTGCTATCCTAATGTAGACACAGTGGGATTATGTACATACCCAGTACATGTAAGTATAAAGGGTGCCCTCAATGCACAGCTTTCGCGTCAACAAGAGCTTCGGTCATCTTCTGAATGCGCTTTTCGGAACACGAAATGGAAACGCTAAACCGTTAGTGAATTTTCCACTATGAATGTTTAGTAGGCTTAACTGCTGCAGCCGTTGTAATAGGATCGATATGGGATGCATCAAATTGCTCATCGAAAAAGTACAACTGAAATAGAAAATTGTAGAATTAATTTAAGACTATTATTCCTTTAAGAGAAATTCATAAATGACCTTGAATAAAGATGGATAAATTGATTTATAATAGCAATGTAATTTACATACTATATATCATACAAAAATATATAATTTCAAACAGACATTTGAAATCAGGGTCAGATAATTAAAACCTATTCATCTATTCACCGTTTAGCATAACTTAGTTGGCTGACACAGGTACTTATATAAATTATTTTTATCAAGGCTTCTGTTTATATTTTTCTTTTGTAAAATATATTTCATCGTTTATTCTTCAGTGCAATTTTATCTATGCAGCCCTAATTTCTAGGACTATATTTAATTTAATGTTTTTCATATTATATCATAAATAAAAATAACAATATAAAATAATCATTGAAATAATAATATAAAATAATAATAATAATAATAATAATAATGATAATAATAATAATAATAATAATAAGTATAAGCTACTTACTAAGAATCCAACAGTCAACAGAGTATGAAGTAAGAAAATGACTGCCAATATAACGACAGACATCTTGATGTCCAAGTCTTTTACTGCAGGCCACATGGTTAAAAGCATCACGGACACTGACAACAACAAGCCAATTACCATCAATGTGTACCGAAATGCCGGTGAAGGTATCACCAGCAACAGCTGTAGAGAGTAATGAATTTCAAAAATATATTGATTGTTTATTCATTTAAATTGTACATGGCAGCCAATGGCTCAATTAATACAAATGTACAAATCATATCAGAACTGAATTTAAAATTCAAACAACTTAATGTAAACAGAACTTAACTTACAATTCAAACAATATATTTCTTTCATATGACCTTCTGTCCTAATTATCTTGTGGAGAGTAATAAATTTATAAGTATTTAACAATTCAATATTCAGTTGACCTTCTGACCCAATTTTGTTTATCTAATACTTTTACATGATCCAGTTATCAAACAGCGAGTAGGCAGGGTTGACACCTGCCCCATCCATCAGGGAGCCTCTGTAAATCTGTTAGAGAAAATGATGGTAGGACTGACTTGGGCGTGGACTCCCACCTATCGGCAAGCTGGATATATCCGCTCATCAAAGCCTATACATCTGTGCATATGACCTAATGCTTGCTAAACCACAGCCACCCTATCCCACCCTTTAGTTCAACAGAAGATTTTCTGGTTTTCTGAAACAGTTTGTTAAATAATAATGATGATGATCTATCAAAAATAAAATTAGCTGAACAAGGTATATAGTAGTCTTTGTCTCAACTCTAATTTTCAATTAAAGTCTAAATGGTTTTTTCCAGGTTGTCTCCATCTCTCCTTGATGCATGACCGAAATACTGAAGTTTGCTGAAAATTACTAAAAATTATTAATAAAGTATATATATGGTAATTATACTTACAGATATTGGTATGTAGATGGTGAGAGAGTAACCATACACACAGACCATTTCCAGGAATGTATAGCCAGCCGGGTTCCCTTGCCATGACAAAACGCCCCAAACTAGACCCGGTGTCAACCACGCATACAAGAATATGATTGTCGCAGCAACAGTCACTGAAAAATTTGTAAAAAAATGAAATATCAGGTAATAAAGCTGGAAATCACATCCCAGTATTATTATGAAAGTAAATCCTACAGTAAACATTATTATTATAAATATGAATATTACCGTATATTTTGTTTTCAATGATCACCAAGGTGTTGTAAATTAGTAATTGTAATACATTGTAAGTAATAAATTTTCCATTTTGACTTGAATGAATTAAGTCGGTCACTCGCTCTCCCCGACGGTCGTTGGTCGAAGCTGATCAGACTGCCATCAACAATCAGTAGTCGTCTAGCACCCACAGAGAGTGGCGTTAAATTTGTTGTATTACACAGCGAGTGCCAGACTTTAATCCGATAAATAAATGCGAGTATCAGACTTACCATGATAAAAATTAGCATGCCATCCATGTTCTCCCTTTGTTTGGAAAAAATTCGCAAGATCACCGCTTATAGCAATTGTAAAGACCAACGTAGCACACACCCAGAAAGGACCTGTTCAAAATGACCATAGAATTAAATGCAGTGTTAGTCAATATGCACAAACACTAAATACAAATCAATGTAAAGATATACTCTTTCCTGATCGATCTTTAGTTATCTGTTGAGTATATCTAAATTTAAGGGTTACTTTCTTAAATTAGTTTAGTATATATTTATTGGTCTTATTCTTTATTTGTTTTCACATTTTTCTGTTTCAATGTTTGTATTGTTTCTGTATTTTGTAATTTTTTTTTCCATTCCAGCTTGGACAGAGACACAGTGGTGGATCCAGAAATTTTCCGAGACTTATTTCCAGTTCTGGTGGTGGCTGGGCAGTACAATGGGAGACAATCACCGAATTCTTTCTGAATAGTGTACTGCGTTCTTTAACGTGCACATGGGCCATAAATGCACACAGGACCAACGGCTAAAACGTCAGCCCCCAAGCTGAAATACACAGTGCAGCACATAAATAGTGGCAACCACTAGTTACTGTAGCAGACTGAGCTTCTATATCACTGTTCTGATTGGTCAGTTGTTAAATTTGATTTAACACTCCGAAAAGGTCTATTAAAGTCCAATTAAAATGATGCTTTTTAAGTTGTTGATTATTGAAGTATTACATATGTTTAACAAATGAGTGGTAATAAAATATTTAATTTTTGGTTTATAAATATTGAAAATGACGGTTTAAAATATTAGTATAAGCCCCGCCCACTGGAGATGTTCACTGAAATGTGAGTAGAGCTGATGACGTAGACTCGGTATAAAAATCACAGCCATCCTGTTTATGTAATACAAACATCGTATAGCGCGACATATGAAAGAGGTTCAGTTGGGAAGTACTGATCTAAAGAAGGAAGCAAAGAAATGGAGCAGTTTATCAATTTGAGCCACTAGAAAGCAAATTTGAAGAAGAAAGAATTGAAGACCAGGCTTTGTTAGAAAAACAAAATCAACACTAACAAATTTTCAGCACTATACTTTAAAATACTGTCCTACTCTAGGACCGACGGACTAGGCCTAGGCAGAGTAACAGCACGAACACTCGTCAGCGTACGATGGTTAATATTATTAGTAATAATATACATTGTTTGAGTCTAAATTAGCTTACAGTCTGTATATTAAAGCTTATTTTGCAAAATTTTTACATTACAATGTAATGTGTGAAGCTGAAATTTGATGTATTGTACACGGCCTAGGCCTACGCTTTCGATAATGATAGTAAACAAAGCCGATTCGGCGATCATCATCACGGCACATTGTAAATTGCCTGGTTGCCAGCAGACAAAGTCTTATACATTGTCTGTTCAGTTTGATAGGTATAGTGCATGCCCTGCTTAATGATATAATGATTGAGATGGAATTTTAAATAAAAACAATAAAAATCTGTTTGAAATACCAGAGATTACAAGTCTGGCATTTTTACCATCAATCTGAGAAGACATTGTGGAGTCTGTATGAACAGCACAATACATACCATAAAGGTCGGGGTTAGGTCGAATCGTTGAGTTGATGAAATCCTTGCTAGGTTGCGGTACAAATGAAGCCACCAACCTGCGTAATACTTCATACGAATCAACCTCAAAGAATGTTTGATAGTATTCAAAGGTCCAAAAGGCAGCTTGCTTCTTTTTGCCTGTTAGTAACTGAAAAAAGTAGAGAAAAACAAAACTAGATTGATATTAAAAATGTCCAGTTGTTCCTGTGCTAAAAATGGAACTGAAAAATTAAGTTCTATATTTCAATTGCCTAGTTTGTATATTAAATTTAGGTAAGTTATTAACTAATACAATTAAAAATTTAAAAGTAAAAATTTTTCGTCATGTAATGGTCAGTTAAGTAAAGAATACATTTCCTTGGTGTTTTTTTGTTTTGATTTGTTTTGTTTTATTTTTTTTTTGGCTAAGTTTGCATAAGTTTAACTGTTTTTAAATTACTTTAGAACATTAAAGAAATATATTAATTATAATGTTTACTGGATCCAAATGAATGTTTCTTGATAGTTTGTGAAGTTTTTTTTTCTATACTGTATCTTTAAGTAATATTTTGAGTAACATTTCAAAATATTGGAATGTAATACCGGAATATACTGACTGCAACCCTGAAATTTTGCAAAATTATGACCATAGTGATTCTCTTTAACTTGTAAATTTTGAATTGTTTGAAACACAATATGATGCAACGTAACACAAATAGAAAACCAAATGTTCATGGAATTTTAAGAAACGACTCAGTTATTTTGAAGAAAAATTTTACCTCAGCTTTGTCCCCTTCTTCATCATCTCCGTCACTGGGGTAATTGTTGAAGGTGCGAGTCTGTCCCTCCACACTGGAAGAATCCTTCTCAGCAGCATCCACAAGCGGGGCATCATCGTCATCAAATTCTATAATAAAGATACACAATTGTTCTGTAGATGTAAACTTAATTAAATTCCATACGGATACTAAAAGCTTCCTACTATATTATATTCAGGTATATTTTTAAATTCGACAATAAAAACAGAGGGCAGCATTTGCTGAAATCTCTGTGTACATTAAAACATATTTTAAAACAATCATTCATTCAGTGAAACATTAAAATAGCTACATAAATAAAACAACATGACATACGAAAGATATTCACAATCATTCTTTTTTTTTACTCTTGGGGGGGGGAGGGGAAATTCCACACAAAGCAGCATCAATAAAACTGTAATTTCCCAAGTTTCTACATTGATTGCGATGGGGAGGGGGGGGAAGTTTTGAAGTAAGAAGCTCATTACAAAACTTCATTATTATTATTATTATAGTTCAAAGAAGCCTTGTTGTTTATCAACTTATGGTAAAACCAACATTTGATTAAAGTCTGAAACTACTCTAATATAGCATATGTAATGTGAAAATATGAAATGGCATACAATTACTCTGTACTGTAAAACCACTTCAAGATGGTAAAATATAGTGTGAACCCATTGGTACAAAGTAGTCTGATGGAATGTAGGCTATACGAATTTATGTACACAGAAGTTATTTAAAGTAATTTGTTACTGTCCCTGCCTGTAACACGTACCATGAAATTGTAACTGATCCGTTGCTAACAAACCTTTATTACTATCACTCTGTAAAAAAAAAAATTACTTCATTAAATAACAAATGTTTAATAAAACCTTTTAAAACATTCTATTATTATTAATATCATTATCACTATCATCACCAACGTCAACTCCATTACCATGGTAATAAAATATTGTTTTAAAAAATTTTAATAAATGTAGAAACAGCTGCTGATAAACAACTCAAAATTTTCCATAGACAAAAGTGTACAAAATAATAATGCTGAGAAATAACATTACTTTTTGGACCTTGGTAGGAGAATTAAAATAACTACTGTTAATGTACAGGAAGATTGCATTCCTATTTGGTGGCTCAATTTTGGAACAGGTCTTTTTTCAAATTTGTTTTATAAAAATACTACACTAATATCCACTCAGAATTGTAACAAATGACAAGCCATAACAATTCTAGTCATTATAGTACAGGTCTCCCTCCATGTAAAGACCACTTTTATGGCCGGGTTCTTTTGCAGCTTTGGTCCTCATTAGAATAATGAAGATATAAAAGACATTTGTCAATTTGAGACCACACAAAAGTGGTCTTTCATTGGAGGTGGTCTTTAATTTGCATGAATTTGTACGCACTCTTTAGTAGCGCGCTGGCATAAATTGATAAAACTGCTCTAAAAAAAACCCTGAAAACACCCTCTTTTACAGCCTTTTCTACCATAACTTTGGAACTTCTCATCAGATCAATTTCCTCCTTTTTTTAAAATAAAAGATCTATCTTTCATCTTTCTAATGAGATGAAATGAAACGAGATAGATTTATTTATTATACTTTCAACTTTGTATTTTTCACTTAATTACCAGTACTTGATTTAATAAATTACAGTTATACACAAAATTGGCTGTTGAGTCTTGTGTCATCTATACATGAAATTCGACATAAAAAAAATTGGCCTGGTAGGCAACATACATAGGGAATAGAGCCTAGGCCTCTAGGCAAGCTAGGCTAAAGCCTAGTAGTAGGCCCTAGACTAGGCCTAGAGAAGGTTACCGTAGTAGGCCAGGACTAGGCTAGACCATGACTAAGGATCTTATATTTAAACATAATGGGGTTTAACTGAGGACTAAATGATCTATAATAAACATCACAAACCTGCTCCATCTTTCTAAACGAATATTTAACAGATTTAGGAAAAACAGCTGCCGTCTAGAAAAACGACGAAAAGGAAAACTTGTGTACGTGTGGCAGCTGCAGAGCAGACGAATTATAACTTTGCCACTAAATATTTTTTTCAACTATTATTTTTAATAATAATTGCAATGCCTAATATAATTTTATTCTCATGTAAATATTTATCTTATTTACTTTTATTTTAATAAATATGATATTTATAAATTTACTTTAATAATAAACCTGTTGAATATTATCTTTAAAATAAATACAGAAAATGGTAGCGAATTGTGAATGTTTACGGAAGTGGTGATGAGGCTATTTTTATCTCTGATCAATTCTCAATTCCGACATGCTTTTATTTATCGGGTGGTTGTAAACTGTAAGTTGACGTGATGTGCAGATATCCACAGCTTTCAGAAATCCAAAGATAGATTTGGCAGTTCGCATAAAATTGTTGGTAAATTATAAGAAGTTATACAAATGATGGAGGCAATTCAGAGGTTGGCTAGGTCGCTTCGAAATGCTCGTACAGTCGATCTTCCAAAAGGTAAGCTCGGGTGACGTGAGTAACTTAACTAAGCCTAGACCACCTAGGCCCCTTGACACTACTCACTGTTTGGCTGGTTATTGGCCCTACTACTACTACTAGGCCTAGCCCAAGGTAGACCACCGTGGTGGTGTGATGATATGTAGTAGGACTTTTCATGAAAGTATCCTTAATGAAAATCACAATCGTTGCAAAGATTAGTATAATTTGTACACGCGTCGATAAAGATTAATTAGGCCTAGGCTAGGTCTAGGGCCAGGCCCCTAGCCACAGACAGGCTACATACAGTGACTTGCATAAAGTTAATTTTGTTATAATAAAGTTGTTTGTTTTGCCTCATTTATACTGTAGTTTCCATTGCCATTTTAATGTAAAAATTACTCCCTACACATACATGCTACGGTGAATTGTAATAGTTACTTGTTATTAATATTATTAATATTGATTGTTTTGCCTCATTTTATTGTAGTTTTCCATTGCCATCTTTATGTAATGTAAAATTTCTTTAAATTTATTTTAGTATATTTCACTTAAGGCAAGACTTTTTATACCTAGATTAGCAAACCCTCCGATCGTCAATAATGGTGGTTTGAAATAAAAATAACATTTTATTCTTGGCCAGTTGTGCACCCTCCGCCATGAAAAATGGAAACGTCATATTTTTAAAAATTTATTTCTACACATTCCGCTCCACTGAAATTTCCAAAAATAAGATATTCGTCCTTAAATTTAAGCATTAATCAATCTCATTGCTACACTGTTTATATTCATCAATGTACAGTAGTATAATTTTTATTCTCTCCTCACCCTAGATCCTTTTAGACTTAATTGTTTGTAAATAAAAAAACAGAATTTTATTTTTATTTTTCCCGCCCTCTGACGATCTTCAAAAAAATAAGTTTGCTATTTTTAACAAGGTATTAAAGCCCCATTCCCGGCAAAATTTCATTGTTAAGAAAAATCTAATTTTTGTATAATAAAGATTTATAAACATAATGCGGAATTGCTAGTTTAAACTGAATTTAGACATTCCTAAAGCATGAAAAAATGTAAAATAAGACTTAAATTTGATTTTTTGTGTTCCACACAAAAATAAATGCGGATGAATTTTTCATGTTTGATTTTGCGACAGGTCTGCGAAGAAATATAGTAGGCACCGAAAACAATAGCCTATCCAACACTGCTAGGCTAGGCCTAGACTTACATGTACCTCAATTTAGGTTCAGTTATCACACATAAAAACGGCCGACATGATATTTTCCGTTGCTGTATTGACACTTGTAAAATATAATATTTCATAGGAATTACTTCAAATTTGTTAAAAAACTGATTCTGACCAAGATTTTGACACTTAAACAAACATATCTCAGGCCTAATCGAACGACCGCATTGTGCGAGATGCGAAGTACAAATACTAATCCCATTTAAGAGGGCACACTTTGTTGACTGTAAAGTGAGAGTATTCCAGCAGATGCGATATACAACCTCTCAATTTCCCTAGTAACGAAGAACAACAATTTTTAAGGATTTGATGATAGTTTCTGCATTCAGAGAAATGCTAAAATCATAAACTTTGAAGGCTGATTTCTTATATTGTTCTTTAAGCAGCTGTATGTTTAAACGCTTGTAACTTCAAAGGAAAATTTCAGATTTGAATGATTTTTTTTAAACATTGTATAGCTTTTTTACTCTTAACCCGGTATTAATAACTCAAATATATTTTTGCGATGAGTGACTGGTTTGGCTTGTCTTTACCACATATGTGAGGTCTCACCACGAAATGAGACACATCGTTGGCGAAATCATATTGAGATATTCACCAAAATAGGTCAAAGGCAACATTTGTACAAAATTTTGATTTTAATGTTTTTGAATAACAAATTGATATTTATATTTTATGATTGTGTACTTTTTAAGTGAATTTTCTTACTAAAACAGTGTTCTCTTTGCATTATCTGTAATTCTAGTCCTATTATTTGTACAGGTTAGTTTATCTTTGAGGCAGATTTTCTCAAAACATGGTTCTCATACACCTAAACTTTAAATGCTAACATATCTCTGTAATGTAATATAAACTCATTTTTTGATTTCTAACGATGAGGCTCATTTTGTAGTGAGACCTCACGAATAGGTTACAACTTTATAATAACTCACTGGTTTACTGTATGTAGTCAATTGACTAAAAATATATATAAAACAAATGTTTATGGGATTATCTTTTATATACTTGAAAAGATTTAAACAGTAAACAATGTTTTTTGTCATGGTGTCGGAAAGAAAATTGATGACTCAAGAATCAACAAGTTAATATTTTAGTCATAAAGGAAATTCAGTTTATCGTTCCTTTTGTACTGCTTCCTGGGAAATAGACTACCAAAATAACACACTGGATTTTTGAAAGATCATTTGTGGCCTATGACAAATCATATTATTTTAATTATGTTTATTTCAGTAGTTCAGCTTACAATACTGTAAAAAAGCTCGAGATGAAGCCCACCTCGAATTGAAGCCCCTCTCTTTTTAGTTTGGAAAACTAGCCTCAAGAAGAAGCCTGTCTCAAAAAGAAGCACATGGGCTTCTTTTCCAAGATAGCATATGCTTTTTTTGTAAAGATAGTACAGTACATACAAATACTGTACATGAATTTCAGAAAATGTACTAAGTTTAAAAGCAAGCTTGGTTTTATACAAGTAGTTTAGATGATTTGATGCCATTTAAATACACTTTATGACTGTAAATTGATGTTACAGTGGCCATTTGTTGTTTTATTATACAAATTCACAAAATATACAGCATTCATTTTGAAAAGAAGCCCCCCTCTTTACTTTTTGCAAATGTACTGTAGCCTCGAAAAGAAACTATCTCGAAAAGAAGCCCATCTTGAAAAGAAGCCCATCGAAAGTTTGTAAAAAACAAGAAGAAGCCTTCAATTCGAGGTTTTACAGTTATGTGGCAAGACAAGCCAAACCAGTCACTCCTTTGCAGAAATTGATAATTGCAGTAGTTATTAATAATACAGGGTTTAGCAGTAAAATGAAAGTTATGAAATTGGTAAAGAATGACTTATTATCGTTTGTGTAGGCCTATTGTCTGTGTCTGTTTTTCCTAATGACATCATTGATTACTTTTTGTATATTTCAGTAGTTATAGTTAGCAGCTTACTGTAAAATATGTGGCAAGGCAAGCCAAACCAGTCATTACTTGCAAAAAATTATTTTAATTAAGTTATTATATTCAGGGTTTAGCAGTAAAATGAAAGTTATAAAATTGGTGTTCAGAACGATTTATCATTTGTGCAAGCCTTTTGCCTGTCTGTGTTTTCCCATAATGAGTCGACACATCATATTATTTTATTACTTTTTTGTATATTTCAGTAGTTTTTAGTAGCAGCTTGCAATGTGGCAAGACAAGCCAAACCAGTCACCCTTGATAAAAAATGATATTTACAGTAGTTAAAAGAAAGTTATAGAATTAGTATTAAGAATGATTTAAAAGTGATATTTAGTTATTATTAATACAGTCAGGGTTAAGCAGTAGAATGAAATTTATGAAATTAGTAAAAAATTGATTTAAAAAATACATTGTTAAGTAGTAAAATAAAAGTTATAAAATTGGTTAAAAGAATGATTTAAATCAGATTTTTTGTTATGAAGTTACAGGAGGTTGAACATACTGTACAGACTTTGCTTAAATTAAAGAACAATAATTGAAAAACCAGCCTTCACAAAGTTTACGATATTGGACATTTCCCAGGCAGAGTGTAGCATGATTGTAGATATATAAAATTTAGTTTAGTGCAGTAAAATAGATTTTGAAAATGTTGACAAGTTCCAACTTGTTTTGGCCATTATCTCCAAAACACGATTTGCTAGAAGTGACTTGGCTTGTCTTTGCCACACATAACAAAACATTTTTTTTTGCCAGTTTTAATTAGCTGGCAGTGGTAATCAGATACATGGATTTTAAAACTAAAAAAAAATCTGTAAATCAGCTATATGATTGGGGTCCCAATAATATTGATAAATTTATGTTTTATAAATGTGGGCTATAGATGAGCTACATACAGAAATACAGTATGTACCTATAGGAAACCATGAAACATAACAGATCGTCTGATACTTATGCGAGTCCAAGGATCCAAAATGACGGTACACAAGAATATTGCTTTTCTGTCTAAAAAATGGCATTATTTCCTTGCTTACAGCATGGATGGATATACCAATGACACATGTGCTGACAACTCCAGGCAACCAGTGTTGCCAGGATGTTACATTAATATTTCCCAATCTACGAACACATTTGTTACAATAACCTTAAAATTTACAGCTTTAAAATTGTCAAATTATTTTTGTACTACTTCAATTTTTAAGCGGGATTGATAGTACACTGTAATATATTCAAATATCTACAGTATACTATAGAGTCAGGCTCACTATAATCGTGCAAACCCAGTCGCCCATGTTTCACCAACTGGGAATGACAAAATATGATAATAATGTGGAAAGTGTTACCAAAATTCAAAAGACCATAATATATTAGAAAAGTGTACCAAATTTCATAGAGTTTTGATAACTAACAACAGAGTTATGACGATATTAAATAGTCATGAGTATGCAAAATTCGTGTGTTGCCAGATAAAAAATACCGTTTAGCAATCTGCCATTCAATAAATGCTGTGCACCACAGGGCTTTAGTTACCGATTTGTAAGCTGGTTTGAAGGTTGTCAATTTGTACTATAAGTTTTTTAAATCGAGGTGAGTTTAGTATGGTTATGGTACAGTTTATCCGTGTCGCCAAATGCACGTAATTTACGTTACATAATTGTAATTTCTAGGAAAAACATATATTATTGCCAGGAAAACTTTAAGGTAATAACTAATATTTGCTTAGTATAAGATGTTATGAATACTGTATTGTTAATTCGGGAAAGTAGAAAAGTCATCTTTGCAAAATATGGTCTTAAACTTGAAGTTTTGATTGTCGCTTTTAAGCAGTGAAACATACGTTACCTGATTTCTTCATACCAATTCAAGAATTTGAACCAAACTAAACGTGAGAAGTAGTTAAGTAATAAGCATGGATTCAGCGTCAGTAAATCATCATTGGTGTTAAGTAATCATGTGTAATTAGTAATTGTAATTAAAAAAGGTAATTTACGTTACAGTAACCTACGTTACGTTATGGAATATTAATCAATATTAATGAAATGTAGAGGGCACAGAACTATTAAGAATGACTTTATTTACGCTGCCAACGACACATGAAAGTCTTAGAACCTTCTGAGAAAAAATGGCATTGAGCAATTGACACCCAGAACCTTGTGTTTACCAACGTTGTGTTTCCCTCGAATGTTGCACCCATCATTAAAGTGAAACAATTTGGTAAAGTATTTATTATAGGCTGTGTCTCGACTATATTTAGTTAACAAAATAGTTGATATTTATAATTAAATGTTAAATTGAAAATTTCAGGCAATAGCTTAGGCCTAGTTTAGAAATACTACATTGTGAATAGTCACGTATGTTAAACACACGGTAATGTATGTTATTGTTGATGTAATAAACATCATTTAATAAAAACATGGGCAGTGGCTGATATATATACTTTCTTTTACATATATCCTAACATACAGTGACTCTATACTGTAGGAATGCTATCTTTCATGGAAATTATTCCTATTGCATATATTTCTGATTTATGTTGATGGTAACGTATATTACAGTAAAATATTATGTGTACATTATAATCACGAGTAAATTCATGAAAGCAAACGTTACACATTAAATAAATTTACCTAATCAACATTCTCTAACATCAAATAGATAAGATGACAAATATTTTTGCAAATAATCTTTGTAATGTTCTATTAGATGAGTAATCCTAGTATTAACGTAGGTTACAAAACTTTATCAAATTGAAAGAACGAGCAAAACTAGGGGCTTAACCACATTATCTTAAAAAAAAGAACATATTATCAACTACTTCAATGATTTTTTTTTTTAAAACCATACCTAAAATAAATAAAAACAAATAAAGTGTTCTTCTTGTTGATTTTAGACAAAAATACTCTTTTATAGTCATATGATAGCTTTGAAAAATGTGCTCATTTTAAATGCGAGTTTATCATTTATTTTTAATAACATGTACTGTACATATACACACAATTAAGAAGAGAAATTATAATTTTGCAACGATAGACTTATGATCGGTGTTACATAATTATATGAAACTTACGTTACTATTTAAACATTTACATACAAAATGCGATTATCATTGGAAGTGTATGTTTAACAAATTTATGTCATTTGTTACCAGAGCATCTCCGTATGATTGTTAATTCGAAAGATATATGTTGTTTGTTTACTTTTAGTGAGCAAAAATGAAAAGTATCAACCGGATTAAAATATATTGTTATAAAATTACAGCATCAATTATTCAAAACAATATAAATGTGTAATTATTTGGGTGTGGCACTTTTCCCCCACTTGTTTTTTATTGGTCATCCTATGTATAATAATATTTATAGGTACATTTTACACTCAGTTATAGATAATCGTCTTACAACAACCTATTATTCAACATTGGTTCAGTAACTTACGTTATCGCATATCAAATGTATTGATAATGTTAAAGGGTATGCTGTGCAAAAACTATTTGAAGTTAAATGTTGTTACTATTTTTAGAAAATTGTTCTTGACATATTAAAGTTCCGTTCTAAAGAAAACCCTAGTTTGTTAATTGAACTTTATTTTTCTTAAATTTTTAAAGTCCAATTGCACCTATAGGGATACTAAGGTAAAATAAGAAAATGAAGCTGTTGACAAGATTTGTTTTTTTATGGAAGAATTTCATGTGTTTTAAAACTTTGTTTTATGAAACTTGGTTTTATATAACATATACCAACATTTATTTACAGGACAACACTTTATCAGTACTATAAAACGAATATAAAAGCTTTTGATGTCATTTTTCGAGTTTTGAAGATTAGAAAAAGTGCAAAGAGAGGTTCTTTAATCATTACCATAATTAATACCATAAAATATTTGTTTTTGCAGATTCTAAGGCAGCAGCAATGGTTCTTATGCCTATGATAATAAATAACCAACATAGGTAATGCAGCCTATATTTTGTTTACTATCAACCTGGTAGGGAGTGGGGAGGTGGAGTTTGTAATGCAATAATTATTTTATGCAATACAGACAATACCCTTTTCATGTAAACATATTAAAAAATATTTTAAACAATGATGTTAGAGCTGTGGTTACATTAGGTATGTGTCAATAATTTTTACACAACTTTGCAAAAAAGTTCAAATGTTATGTAAAGTATGTGTGAAACTACGTTGCAAGTACAAATAGGCCTATGATTTTACAACAATCTACAATGGTTTTTTATAAGGCTTTTTTTATGATCTATTAAAAGGGATCTGCTCTTTAAAATCATTTGTAACTTTCTCTGAAAATTAATGTCATTAATATAAAAACAATATTTTTGTACAGGTCTGTTTCTGATCTTCTTAGTGGTTCCAGTTTTGATGTCAATTTTGTGTTTGGTAGAGCACAACGAAATCTTCTACATATTGCTGCAAAGTAAGTATATTCAAAAAGAAGGAGATATAACTTTCTAAATCGTCATTACCATAATCACAATTGAAACCTGTATCAGTATCATCAAAATATATCATTAACAAAATATCACTATCAAAATCATCATTTTATATATTTTCAAAATTCACTCTAATTATCTTTTTCTATCGTTTGTTTCATTATAATTTATTGATGTTGGTAACATAGACATAAGCTCGCAGTTTAAAGTTTACATCAAATTATGGTTGGTTTATTATCGATAAAATATTTCTACAATCATTAGCAAACCAGATGAACCAATTCGAATATTTACATAATTTATCATTAACAAAAATCGTCATCATTTCATGTATTTTTTAAAAGTCAATCTAGTACTTATTAGTACTACTATAGTAGTACTAGTAGTGATACATTATGGTGATCTTTTTTTCTTTTTTTCGTTTGTTGTGTAATGCTTTTAAATGAAGGAATGTGGTGAGTCAGTGGTTGTGACCTGTTGCCCTTGGTCTAAGAAAATTCACATGCTCCTTTTTCCTATGACGGTGCAGAGTTTTTTTTACCTTGCTTTAGACCAATGGCTTATAGCGTCTCTTATAAAATGTTACACTTTATTGTAAAAAAAAAAAAAAAACAAGATAAAAAATGTATATCACGACAATATTTTTATCTCTATTTTGTCTTTGTTTTGAGATTTTCACCATGATCATTCTCAACTGTTGCTTTTTCCTTCCTCAGCTGTGGTAGCTATGAAGTTCTTTGTATTCTTTTGAAAAAAGGTGCATCACCCAATGTACAAGATATAGCCGGCTGTACTCCACTACATCTAGCTGCTAGAAATGGGTAAACATACTACTAATAATTTAATATTTATCATTTATTTTTATCATTATTTTAATCTGATTTTCATATTTTGAGCATTCATCTGTGATTATAGTACTATTATTTTTAATGTAAGGCTGTGTAGTTAGATTTAAGTCTCAAAGCGTTCAAGGCCTGGACAAGCTTGCGCAGTAACTCCCTTCTTCCCTAAAGGAGCTACCAGTTAAACCTGTGCCAGCTACTCTCATCTGTACACAACAGGGGCTGTATGGACCCCTACACATCTGAGATGTACTGGGTGTTTTATATAAGCCAATTGTGTATGCCTCCATTGGGCCTACTACAGTTTATAGTTTTTGTCCTTAACCACCAAAACCTTGGGTGAATGTGCTGCTCTAAACTGCACTGATTTTATGGCTCTTGTTTGCGGCGTCCCTGCCTTAACCATTCGTTAATTCAACATTATCTAGGTCAATATGGTTTGTTGGATTTTCTATCTTCAAACGGCCCACATTTGTCCAGTGGCACTATGAGAATCTGTAAGCCTTGACTTTTATTTCTTAAACCAAGGTTCATTGAGCAGAATTTATAAGCATTGCACATTCAGATGATACTTGGATGATTCAAACATTAAACTATTGCTCAACTTTCAGGAAGAAGAGATGCATGACCAAGTTATTAGAGTACAAGGCTGATGTAAATATATGCAACAATGAAGGCCTAACTATGGTAATGTTAATAGTTGTATTTATTTATTTACCTACTGAACAACATCTTTTCTGCAGTACCTTCTGTCGGATTTAATGTTAATAGTTGTAGTACTTGTATATGTATTTTATTGTACATGACATATGAATAAAGTTAATATAAAAACAATGGTTGACATTCTGTTTCCTTGATTTTTTCATCATTCTCGCTTTAAAAATTCCACCATTTTAAGTTTACCTACCTGCTGGAAAATATCAATCTTTTGTGGACCTGCTGCTTGTTTTAAAATCTAATAGTAAAATACAAATATGTTGAATTGAAAAAAATATTTTAGTATGTATGTTTGATCTAAACAATAAAACTCAAATGATATTATATATATATATATATATATATATTTTTGATATTTTTTTTATACAGCTTTGGGCAAAGGGAAAATAACCAACTTTTTTTTTTTTTTTTTGTGTATATAATTTAGACAAAATAAATGAAATGAAATGAAACTGCAAACTTAATCACTTTCCAAGTGGAAATCTTAAAAATATTATACTCGTACAGTGGTTTATATAAGTCTCATATGAGGTTAGAGTTTTGGTTGGTTGCAAGAAAAACATTCCTGTACTGCAACAGGAATAGAACCGAGGATTAGAACCAAGGACCCTGGGATTGGAAGGAAAACATCTAAACCACCAAGCTATTCAACTCTACTTATGTTAATATGCTTGAAATGTTTGGTCTGGTATGTCAGGAGTATTCAATCAGTATATTTAATTGCAGATTCATTGGCTAGCTGTAAATGGTCGCTCTGAAGCTCTGAATGATGTTTTTCAATATGTGACGAATGTAGATGTTGAGGTAAGTATTGCAATTAATCATGTAGTATTAGAGAAGCCATTTTATTTTACCTCATGTTCATTTCTGGTAGTTTTCCATGGTTTGATTTGATTTGATTTATTCAATATCTCAACTTTATACAAACAGAAATATACAAAACAAATAAAGACGTCAAAAAACCAAATGGAGATATTGGGATAACCCTTGAAGTCCCTATTAAAGTCAGGCTCCGGAGGAAAAGAAAATTTTGATATGTTGTAGAACTGATTTTTCTAAGACAAAAAATTGTTCGGCGAAGAACTGGGGAACGGTGAATGAGATACAGATTTTTGAATATTTAAAAACTGGGGGAAAAAGGTCGTAACCACCCAATTTTACACCTTTTCCCCCAGTTTTCAAATATTTAAAAATCTGTATCTCATTCACCATTTCCCAGTTATTTTTTTCTGTCTTAGAAAAATCAGATCTACAACATATCAAAAATTTTTTTTCCTCCGGAGTCTGACTTTAAAGGACTTATTTCCAGAGTAGTGGATGAAATTAGTATTTTACCTTCTAATATTAATTTAATAAAAAAAATTTTTTCTTTAAGATTTCCTTTTAAATGTTTTCAGTTAACACAGATCAAAAATTATCAGCCCAACAAATTCTAGAATTTATTTACATTTTTTACATGTACTGTTTTTTTTTTTTTTCAAATATGTATATGTGCAAGTAATCTACTGTTTCAGAAAGAAAACTTAAAAAGTAGAAATTTTGCATTTTTAAGACCATTGTTTTTATATCTGAATGCAGGATGGACAAGGACAAACAGCACTACATGTTGCATCTCAAAATGGTCACAAATCGGTAAGAATTTTTCAAATCAACTTCAGGTTTAAGTGCAATTGTTTAAACATATTGAGTTTTTTGTTCTGTGATTAGATGGTGCAGACCTGTAGTTAGAGTTGTAATGAGGCTGTGAGTATATACTACCTTATAATATATAGAAGTTCAAGTGTGATAAGAGGAGCTTATCTCAGTTGACTGAACTGGTGGTGCCGCTGTCTGTGCATTTAACCATGGAAATTATTAGACCTTTGACCCCTGGTTCAATTCTAGTTACTGTCACTGATCTCATTTGTTTCTGAAATACAGTTTTAGAACCTTAAAAAAAATGCAGTGCACTGTTCAGAAGAAAGTAAGGGATTGTCTCCTGCTGTACGTCCCAAGATCCCACTAGAATTTTAAAAATTAATTTTCAACCCTTAATGTAATCCTTAATATTCAGTATGTAAAAATGAATTTTATGCTATTTTATGTATTTTTTTTAAAAGATGTATTGTCCCTTGTTAATGTAAAAAAATAATAAAAAATAATTTTAAAATCAACTTGCTCATTTTGCAATAACATACAAATTAACTTGTGCATAGAAATTATTAAATTTGAAAAATTTGTACCCTGATTTTTAAACTAGAAAAATATAATAAAAGTAATAAAACACTTCCAGTGACTGAAAGTGTTTCTATCATTTTACTCTTAAACTGATTGGTAGACATTTTTTAAATAGACTAATTGCTATGTTCAAGTAGATAGCTTTTATGTTACTTCAAAATGGGCAAGTTAATTTTAAAAAATATTTTTATGATTTTTTTGGTATTTAGCATAGGACAATACATCTTTAACCTTCAGGCATATATGTTTTATATCATATTGTATTTTTATGACAACCCGGTTATTTGGTGTTTGACACACTGTTGGGTCTTGAATAAATAAATAAAAAATAAATAATTAAAAATAAACAAGTCTTCCGACTTATAGTAGTTGTCCTTCTCTGTGATAAACTGAAAGTACAAATTATTATTAGCTGGTAATGGAAATGGACTTATCTTCCCTATTTAATAACCATCTCAAAGCACCAAATTTATGTTGATATTTAATTGTTATTGAAAAGAATAATTTAATTTCTGAGTTATTTTCTGTTTTTTAGACTGTAGCATGCTTGTTAGCCCATGGTGCTCAAGTTGATAAAATAAATTCTGTTGGTCAAACACCCTTGTACTTTGCAAGCAGGTAAGATAAATATCGTAATTGTCAGTCTTCCTATTAATTATGTAAAATCTGTGTTATTGCCCTGTCTATTATAATTGTATTTAATGTTATATATCCATATTGTCTGCAGTTTTAAAACAAATATGTATTTTAAAATAGATAAACATACTTAAAATTTACTTCTAAAAAATTATTGCTGCAAATTTTATAATATCCATATCCTGTAAAAAGAACATATAATAATTCATCTGCAGTTGAAGAAATGTTGTTTTCATATATTGAAATTCATTCAGGGGTTTGTTTAAAAAAGGAAATCCAATAGCTTGTTCTATGGGGTGCTACCACATGCATTTTAAAAACCCACATCCAAGTGGGGTTGGGAGGGGCTGTATATACTGCTACCCAAAATATGGTAACCAAGAATGCACTGAGGGTTATGGTCAGTCCTTAAAATTTATGTCTATAATTTATTCTCTTCTACAACAGTATGCCAGTGTTTTTTAATTAACAGATTTTGCGTTTTATCTTGTATCTCAGCCATGGCCAAGTAGAAGCAGTTCGTCTGCTGTTAGATAAAGGTGCAAAACATTTCTCAGATGAATCTGGTTTCACTCCACTGTTGAAGGCAGCTCAGGGGGGCTACACTAATGTATGCAGCTTGCTTCTTAAGGCCTTCACTAAACTATGGCCTCATTTGATCCAATTTAGCTTAAATGAAAAAGTTGATGAGGCAAAGGTAGGGATTTTTTTTTAACAATTAAACTGAATTGACAATGATCTTAGAGCTTTCCAAATCTTAGAATTATTATGATGATAATAAGATGATGAAATTAATGATGATAATGAAGAGAATAGTAGTGATGAAGATAGTGTTGATTACAATCAGTACAACATAATTTTACTTCACATAATTTTAATTTTAATTTACTTATACTTACTTTGCTTTACTTTACTCTACCAAGGACTTTTAACTGTAGCAGTTGATAGTCTTCGGCTTGACTTGACATTTTTTACATGTAATGGCGTACTTTACATGCCATATGTAGCACTTTGTTTATTTGAATTACTGCTTATTCCAGTTGTACACAGTGTATAGTAAACTGTGTGAAGAAAGTTGTCAACAGAAAACTTACATCCTAGAGGGACTTGCAGACCTTGCCTCAACAACAGGACACAAGCTTCTTAGGTATTTTTTATATACTTTTCCTGAGCTCCGGCAACACCATCAAATTTTATGTGACAAGAAAAAGTGATATACCCATATTTGGGTGTAGTATGACATCATCATGTCCATATATGGGCACATTACACACATTTGTCACGTGCAGATCAATTTGATATTGCGGACTGTGCTTAAAGCCTATTTTCCACCAGGCATATTTATTTGCGCGAATCAAAAGTGTTTGTTTGCTTCCTGATCTTGATTGGTTGCGCATTTTTTCGCTTTGCAAAAAGTGAAAACAGTTTGAACTAATGATTTCACTGAAGCAAAAAACTCAAATAGAAATGTGAATGCGCAAATGTAAACTGACACTTTCGATTCACGCGAATAAATTTGCGTAGTGGAAAACTGTCTTTATATTTTTACCTACTGTAATAGTAAAATACACTGTTTTAAATATCTGAGAAGCATTAACAAAACTCAACTATGAAACTTCACATTTTTCATAATCTTCTATTTTTAAGCCATTCCAGTAGCGTTGAAATGCAGGTGAGTGGAATGAATCGGTGTGTACGCCTTCTCAGTAAACTCTACAAGAAATATTTCTCCGATGAAGGTCTTTGCAACACAGTCAAGTATTCCCCACCTTCGACAATATTCCAGGTAATTATTCAAAGAACAAGAACATTTTTAAAGTAATACATGTGTATTCTGAAGGTTATGCCCCCCTCCTTCCTAAGTTTTTTCAAAATTTTAAAAAATTGAGAAAAAAAGTAATAGATATATAATTGTAAGTCTGGAGAGTGCCATTTCCGGCCATTTAGCGGTGGTATAATCATAATTGTTCTTACCTTGGCCCCAACCATTGTGGGGGTAGGATGGTATAGACCCTTCACATATATGAAAGTCCCTCCCGGAGCCCCATCTATTTTAAAGTCCTGGATCCGCCACTGAACCGGCTACTTACTTAATTAAAAAATATAAACTATAAGAAATAAATGATTTCAATTGATTTGATTTATTTGTTATCTCCAAAATACATATATAATTATTATTCAATACCAAAGAAAAAAAACAATGTAAACAAAAAATATCGAATAAGTAACTTTGTTCATCTTAGATCATCTCCATGATTAATAGAAAAGTCCATATTGATCATTTTTGTTTTTTACCTTTTGCATTTTCGTTGTTTCATTATGAATTGATGACTCATCTTTTATCAGTTATTTTTGTCAATTATTAAATTTGTCACTCACAATTTGGTTGATTTCCTATAGCCATTGGAAGCACTTTGGAATACACTAGAGCAGTGGCTTCTTCTGATGGCCAGTGAACTTAAAAAACTACCTCTCCAGAACACAGAAACTCATTCTTGTATCACATCAAATGTCTCTGGTATTCCTTCAGAAGAGAAACAAGATATTGTAGGTAAGAAGACAACAGAATGCAGCAACCACATTCAAAAATCCGATGATGGTTATTGTAAAGTTGAAAAGGATCATAAACCAGAAGATGATTGTTTAAAACTAGGCACAAAATCTGATGTAAAGACAGGCACATCTGGTGAATTTGACATCATTCTCAAAGAAGGAAGTCTGGATGATAAGAAGATCATAGAGCTCTCCAGAAAATCAATAATACGGTCTCTGTCCTCAGATACTGTGAAGGAAAGCGAGACTTTACTAATTACTTCTGATCGTGTTTGTGCTGTGATACAGGCCTTCTATACCACCTGCTCCACTCAAATGAGACAGAGGTAAGGCAGTAAAATGACAGTTTTGTAGATAAGCATATGACATACTGGTGAAACAGTGTACAGTACTTCTAATACAAAAATCAGGGGTTCAAGTCTCGAGCGAGCCACTTTATCAATGTTATCCCTATCCACTCAAGAATATTGTTTTTTTTTTTGGTTTTTTTTTTAAGCCACACAAGAGCATAAGTGGGTCCCTGATAGATTAAAAAAAACCACAAGGATGTAGTTATGGTGGGCGGAGGTTTTTTAGGGCCACCCAGCCTTGGAGGTTTTACCCAGAATAAAGCTAATTTCATGTCTTTTCACCTGCCTTCATTAACCCTTCCATCCTTCAAATCTAATCTTATTATTAATTAGAATTTGCCAATGTCATCACCCATATCCACCTACACTTAAATGTCTACCACCCAGCCTTAGTTTGCTACACCTACAGCCCCAAGACCAGTATGCTGATTACTCACTGCAGCATTGTAGATTATGGTTGTTTTTTTTTTCTCATCACAGTATGACTCCTCCTCGATTTATAGAGTTCGTCTGTCGACATGATGCTGTTTTGAAATTCTTTGTTACAAAGTGAGTAAGGATGACTACTATATAAAATATTAATTGCATTATGTAACCTACATTATAAATCATCATGCCCACCAAAGATATTAAGGTATGTAATATAATGTAGAGCTTTATACTGAAGTTTCAAAGCCTTCGAAATGTGGATTAGCTTATTACAATATCCTGCTTCTCCCTTAAAGGTCTTTTTGTGTCTGAGGTACCTAGTCAAGAAAGGGGCATTCACGCCTTATCCGAAAGGACTTGTTCCACCACCAGAACAATTGGTGAGCATGCCGATTGAACCAGTGCAAATAGTATGGCTGTACATTGCAGCGTCCATTCTTTAACCACTTGACCATTTGACATGCTGAATGGTCAAGCAATTTAAAGTTTTTGAATGAGCAATCCAGAAAGTTTTTTTTTTTTTTTTTTTCAAAATTTTGGGGTGTCAGTATATCGTTCACTCGAATTATGTTATATTCTTATTTCAACGAAGAAATAGAGATAAATGTTTGAGCTTTTATGTTAGTTTAAAAAGAATTATCTTTGTAAACAGCTCAATTGATGAAAAATGCAAATTCATGAAAACTGAAATTGTTTTATGTATTATATTTACTTTCATAGTTTATCATTTCTTAATGATTATTTATTTCTTGATTTGAAGAAATCCTAAAGTAATTTTTAATTACTTTAATTTTCTGTTGGAGTGTCCCGAGTTGATGGCACGTTTCCTCACAATAATCCAAGCCCAGCCTTTCAGCGACCGAGTTGATTGGTTTTACGAGAACCTCCGCACCAGGGAAGAAGAGGAATCAATTAATCGGCCCCCAACTGACATTATTTATGTTAAAAGGGGTTAGTGAATTATCTTTTTTGGTATAGATACTATTAGTGATGACAATGATGATGATGATGACTTTGATAGTGACAGTGTCAGTTAAAATATTAACAAAGAGGATATGACAATACTTACAATTATAATAAAGTTATAAGTAATAGTATTGAATGTATTTGAAAAATAGTAGTAAAAAGAAAATTAACTCGCAATAAAATAAGATACTACATGAATAAAGAGATTGATTGACTTGATTGATTGATTGATTGATTGATTGATTGATTGGTTGGTTAACATACTATTTAGTGGACTAACAACTCCCATCTAGGCCGCGCAAGGAGCAAAACTAATGTCAAACTTAAGTAGAAAACAGAGCAAAGCAAATAAATTTGAAACATTCTACATCAGCAAACAATGGTGGGCCCCGATCAGTGTGTGAAATGGTGCAATTAGAAACAATGTATGAATAATATTTAAAGTATGTTTTAAAATTTGTAATGTTTTTTTGCAGATGACCTTTTTACAAGTAGTTGTAGTGAAGTTAAGAAGGCCGGCACCAAGAATTTGAAGAAATCCATCGCAGTCAACTTCTCTGGAGAGATGGGAGTTGTGAGTTGTTTTCACAACTTTAGCTAAAAGACAGTTAATACCTGTCTCATACAAATTATTGATGAAGTGTTGCTAGTGGTAGTCTCAGGCCAACTATTGTGCAGAAAAAAGTTTGTCATTTCTGTGAAGGAGAAATTTCATTCTTGACACTGTTCCAATAAAGAACGAAACGTAGAATCAACTATGGCCTCACGTCTGTCATTTTTCGGAGTCACCATACTCATATTCTATTTACGTATAATCAGTGGATCCTTTGGTTCATGAAGTGGTGCCACTAGAAATTTTAGAAGGGTTTTCAAAGTCCACAAAAGGGAGTCCACTCCCACCTTAGCCACACCACATGGTATTACATGTTGGTGGAAGCGGTTGTCTGCAAATATTGTGGCTAGGACTCTCAACCTTGATTTCGGGGGTTTGAATCCTTCGCTGTGCAAGTTGCTTTATATATGTTTGCCTCTCTCTACCCAGCAGTATAAATGAGTACCGGCATATACTTGGAAGGTAAAACAGACTTGCTATGCAGGAGGACTGGTGAACCTCCACAGCCTGGCACAGTCTGGCCCAAATGCCATTAGAAAGAGAGATGGGCATTCTGTCCTATGAGCTCAGAGTTTCAGGTTTTGACTTTTACCTTTACGTTGTACATATTATATTTCTATGGTTTTTTTTATCTGTAGGGGCAAGGACTTGTGCGTGAATGGTTCGACATACTATCAAAAGAAATTCTCAATCCTGACTATGCACTCTTCACCCCTTCAGCAGATGGTATGTTACCCTTCCAACAAATTTGTCCCCAGCTCATGCCTAGATACCCAGCTAGTCATTCTATTTTACTGCCATGTTTTAAATATTTTACTTTGATGAGTGATGTATAATAAAAAAAAATGGACCTTCTGTTTGTCTGGTCGTAATAATCTCCAAGTATGTAATTCATTTTAATCCCAAAATTACTGATATCGTCAATAAAGATCACATACATTACATTACCATAGTCACACACAATACATTATTTTTACCATGTATTCTTTTTAGGTGCTACCTTTCAGCCTAACAGTAACTCATCTGTGAATCCAGATCACTTGAATTTCTTTCATTTTGCTGGATATGTGTTGGGTTTGGCACTTTATCACCATCAGCTTATTGATGCCTACTTCACACGATCTTTCTACAAGCATCTTCTGGGTGAGTTTTGGGCTGCAATGGTATTTTTTAGATATTTTTGGTACAAGCTCAACACAAATAGAGTATTAATTTGGAATAATTATCTATTGTTTTTTTTTTCAGGTATTCCGGTGAACTATAAGGATGTAGGTTCTCTTGACCCAGAATATGCCAAAAATCTTCAGGTCAGTGTAAACTGGTATAATAGACAAAATGAGCTACATTAGCACAGAGTAGAAAGAACCAGTATAGACTAAAATGAACTGTAATAGACTAGAATCAACTAGTACAGACTAAAATGAAACCACTACATTGTTATATTACTATCAAATGATGGGTTCAGAGTGGAAAAATATCTATAGATCAATTTAAATTTAAAGTTATTTCCATATCGGACAAATAAAATTTAATCTGATTTTAATATTGCGTTTTGTTCTTTTCAATTTTAGTGGATACTTGATAACAACATTGACAATATTGGATTAGAGCTTACCTTCTCAGTGCAGACAGATGCATTTGGTGTACTTCAAGAAGTAGAACTAAAGCCCGGAGGAAGCAGTATAACTGTGACAAACTCTAACAAGGTAGGCCTAGGCCTATATCACAATATTTTTAAAGTCAGGCTTTAAAGGAAAACAATTTTTGGATATGTTTCACAACGTAAAACTCAAAGAGGGTGTTTAAAGAAAAGCTTGTGAATAGTTAAGATTTTTGAATACAATATTTAGAAACTTAGCGGAAAATGAGGTGTAACCACCCTTTTTCCTCATCTCCCCCAGTTTTTAAATATTCAAAAATCTGTATTTCACTTCATTCACATTTTTGTGTCTTAGAAAAACCAGTTGTACAATATCAAAACATTTTTTTGGGCTCCGGAGCATGGCTTTAATGTTGTTTGGTTACCTTTCCATTTCTACCTCCCATTTCCATTTCTAAATTACCAATCATTTTCTCATTCTCCAACAAAAATCATTATCACTTCAACCACATCTCATTGGTGAAGAGAGAAAGAATGAAGTGGTGTGGAACAGCGGTTGCAGTTCAGCTTCTAAACCTTGAGGTTGCGGGTTCAATCCCTCGCTGTGCATTTCAGTTGTGTTCTTGGGCCATCCACTTTATCTTTTCTCTCCACACTTAGGAGTTCAAACACAAAATATTTTGATTACCATCTGCAATATTAAGGAATTTTCTCCAGGGAGCAGAGTATGCATGTATTCCAGTGACATTACTAAAGCCCTGGTATATTTGTTTTTGTCAAACTACCTATCTAAATTGAGGCAAGTTGTGGCAAAATGGCTAAGTTGTAGCAAAAAATTCAAGTTATTAGTATTGTCAGATACCTGAGTATGTAATCTTTCAAGTAAGGGGTCATTCATTAAAATTGGACATTCCAAGCGTGAGTTATTATAAACTGAATGTACAGCACTCTTAGTGTCAAGATAAACATGATTTTGAGTAATTGCCTTTCAAAGTTATTTGTGCATACATTGTTTAACAGAATTAACTATCAAAATAAAGTTAAATAAACAAATTTGTTGACCATTTCAAGAACTAATGCTTTGGGACATGATTAATAAGACATTAACTGTTGGTCTATAATGAAAAACAAAATTGGATTTTAAGCCATTTTTTGAGCTCCCATATTTTATAGCTCATTTATTTACTACTGGCCTGTGCGACAACTTAACCATTTCACCACGACATGCCTCAATTATTACCTTTTTAAGACAACATGTGCTCACATTATGAGAGTAAATAATAGACAAATGAGTCACATTCACTTTTCAATCCTCAGCAAGAGTACGTCCAGCTTGTTACTGAACTCCGCATGACTAGAGCCATCCAACCACAGATTGACAGCTTCCTGAAAGGCTTCAGTGAATTCATCTCACCACCTCTACTCCAGTTATTCAATGAGTATGAATTGGTGAGTGATGAGTATAGCATACGAGTAGAGCCATACAGTATAGCCTACGAGTAAAGGTTTATGATCAATCTATAAGCAGAGCCATAGATGCGAGAGATGATGGAGGTGACAGAAGTTTTAGCCATTCTCTTAAGTTCTGTCCAGACTATCAACTCTTGTATGCCCATATATAGTCATGATGTGATGTCACTATGACCATATTTAGGCATGTCATATGTTTTTGTCAGAAATCTTGGTGTAATATTTGACCCTAATCTTAATATGACGTCCCATGTTGATTCTATCTGCCGTACTGTTAATTTTCATTTGAGGGGATTATCAAAAATTCGCAAATTTCTTGATAGTAAAGCTTGTACTGAAGCCACAAGGTCATCGGTTTTATCACGATTGAATTACTGTAATTCACTATTAGTTGGGATTTCTACAAAAAACATGTCACGTTTAAAGAGGCTTCAGAACTGTCCGGCCAGACTAATTTTTTCAAGTTAATATGTCCATTTGTGCAATACCTCTGCTAAATGAATTACATTGGCTACTTGTAAAGAGCAGAATTGTATTTAAGGTTTTATTAACATGTTTTAATTGTGTGATTAATCAAGCACCTGGTTATCTGAAAGATTTATTAATACCTATAAATGTGGTAGAGGTGGCCTTAGGTCTGAAAGTGATCGCACTAGGTTAGAGAACTGTCTTGTGAGACGGGCGTCTGGCTAAAATGCTTTTTTAAATCTGGCCTAGTTTTTGAAACATGCTGCATTTCTGGCCATTAACAGAACTGGTCCATGGCACCCGGCCTTTGGCAAAAACCCGGGTTATACATCCTGCTGGTTTGTTGAATAGCGAAGGGTTCTTAAATTATTTATTGCCACTGAAGCCCATGAGATGAAGTGAGTGATTGATTGTTGTTTACATTCCAATGGCTATATGTTGCTGGCAGGACTCTCTTGTTAACTCCCAATGGACCCTTAAAACCAATTAAAGTTAAGTTTATGGAGCTGCTAACAGCTCCCTTTGGACCATTTGACAGCTCACTCTCAACTATCAGACAGCTCACTATGGACCATTTCTGCTAATGGGGACTTTTGCCTCATGAAATGATTTTCCAAAAGATATTAGAATCAAATTCTTTGGAAGCATTTAAAAAAGTTCTTAAAACTCACTTGTTTGTAAGAAGATTGTAAAGCGCTTTGATCAATTTTTTTGGAAAGGTAATATAGAAATTCTTTATAATATTATTATTATTATTAAATACAATTTTGCAGTCTGAAATTATAAATTTTAAAGCAAAGATTAGATATTTAGGCACAAACAAATTTGTCAAAGGGTTGTGTCTTCCACCTTGAATCAAAATAGGCCAGTGAGTTTTTGGCATCAAAGAGGATATTAAAAGGAGAATGCATATTTTGTGCTTAATAAGAACAATAAGTGGTGTGACACATTTTCAAACAGTATTAAGCTCTCTTTTATTTCTAATCTTCTATCTCTATTCTTTGGCGGCATATTTACATTGATACAAAACCTGAATGTGTTTCAGTTTTGGAGTAAAGCTGCATCTTTCAATCCCACCAGTGTACCGAGTTAGAATATAAATTAACAACAATTTAACAAATATGCGTAGAGAGGAATAGAGGTGAAATATCATTATGTAAATATTAATAGAATTCTGATCGGGCTTTAAATTGTTTTTGTTTTTATAGGAATTGCTACTTTCTGGACAAAATTAACAATAATTTAACAAATATGCGTAGAGAGGAATAGAGGTGAAATGTCATGTGAATATTAATAGAGAATTCTGATCGAGCTTTAAATTGTTTTTTTTTTTTATAGGAATTGTTACTTTCTGGACTACCATCAATTGATGTAGATGACTGGAAGGCTAACACAGTTTACAATGATCAATTTGACACAACCAGCGATGTAGTCAAGGTATTACCCAATTTGTGAACTCTATATTAATTGTAGTTGTAATGCTATTTCATATATATCATTATTTTTGGCCTATTATTGTTGTCATCGTCATTGCCACTATGAGTATTCCTAAGGGAGCTAAATCCAGTGGTGTGAGGTCAAGGCAGGGGTTAGTTGTTCCCCTAACCTGCCATTGGTGCCCCACTGATCATTGCACCAGTTTCTTTCTACATCACTCATTCCTTAAAACTACTTAATTTATGCAGACCCATCCAGATATACACAATGCATGCATAGTTTCACATTGCACATTAATATCAAATCTGATTAGTGAAGTGAAAAATGCTAGCATTGTGAGCACGTTAAACGTTTGATTACCATACTGACCCGTATTATCCCCTTATGAAACACAAGTTTTAAATGACAATTGTTTTGGTCATTTATTTCCTAACATATAATGCAGTGGTGTAATGCCTATGCCTTCTCGTGCGGCGGTCTGCAGTGCCCATGACTCCTGTGAGCCCTGAAGAGGCCCTACCCATAGGGTCCTCAGTCTAGCAGGCTGACCAGTCTCACACTAAAGGGCTTTGTTGATACATAACAGCATAATGTGTCTCTGACATCGAATGTGGAGGACACACCTGTACCATATCCAGAGATGCTATAATTATAAAATTTCTTACCTCAGCCCCAACCATGTTGGCGCTGAGGTGGTACGGTCCCTCCCTCCACCCCCTCTATTTCAAATTCCTACTAGATCTGCCACTGATGTCATTTATTTCGTCGTTACAATCATTTATAATACAATGACAGACATGATTAATAATATGATAAAAGCACATCTAAATCCCACAACCACAACCGAAAAAGCAGGCCCATAACCAGCTTTCGCAATTGGGAGGATATTTTTCAATCTGACTGGAACTTTTGGGGTCCATGGGTTCTCTCGAATAATGTTAAAAACCATGACCTTCCACCTTTAATTCAAAATGCTCTTCTGGTGTGTTTGAGCTGCATTCAAAGGAAATAATTTTCATGAATTAATCGGCAGTAGATATACCATGCAATATTGTTAGTAGATCAAATGTAGTAGTCTACAGATAGGATCATATTTACATCATCATCTTCCTTTACTGTGCAGAACGTCTTTGGAGTATAGTCGCACATAAAAACTACAGTGCATGTCATAGGCTTATCAACTAATGTTGGCTAAATATCATTTAGACCCAAGTGTTGAAGGCAATTTAAGTACAATAACACTCGGAGTTTCAAAGTACAATGAGCATAACCAAATTATAAACCATTTATACACAATAGCAGCCTTTATTATTTATAAAGCATGGTCATTAGCTGACACAATACATGAGAAAACCAAACCGATATACAGTAGAACCCCTATTAAGGGACACCCTCGGGACCCAAAAAAAGTGTCCACTTAATAGGGGTGTCCCCTACATAGGGGTACCCCTGTACCACTTTTCAGGAGACACTGACCAAAATTGTGAAATTGTCCCCTTAATTATCCCCCTCATAGGGGTTTTTGGCATGATTGCGTACTATTTTCTTTTAAAACCATATTTATAGAGGGTGACCCTTCCAGCGTATCCTACAATGTCAACTAATATTCAGGGGCCCTCTTTAAATAAATGAAATACCTGTAATGTAATGTCTCTTTAGGAGGCTTGGGAGTGGAGTTGTTTTTGTCATGAGAAAAAGTCCTGTCGTGACAGGAATTGAACCCAGGACCTTGAGATCAGAGACAAGCACCTTAACCACTGAGCTATTCAACTACACTCCAATGATGATGACATAGATTCAGTGATGACATAGATGTTTGAAAAAAAAAAACGCATTGTAGATTCCATGGTGACGTAACATAGAGTCTTTGTAATTATAATCTAATTGGCCTAAGAATGAGTTACAGTTGAATTACTACTAATTTATAGCAATAATTTGCAATGCAAAAACAATGACGTAAAATGTTATGAAAACAACAGAAGTTGTACATATTCCCGATATGTTTCCATGATTCAAGGGCATTAACTAAGTATAGTATTCTTTCTATAAATTGAGCTATTGGATGTACAAAATAGAATAGTGTGGATAGAGTAACAACTTAGAATCAGGATGCAGACTATACGGTATATATACACACTAAACAATAAATCCACATTAATGGTTAATGGTCAAAATTAAAATATTGTATTTATATCACACCCTATCGGATCTGTCATTATAGTACAGAAGTGCATAAATCGCACTTATGAAGTTGTGTTTTGTGTTGGTTTAGTAGAGCGGAACTCCCTATTCTGTGGGGGGATCGTCCGATCCCCGATCCCCGATCCCCACTGGTTACGGGCCTAAAAGGGCCCCAATCTCAGAAAGACACAGGGACCTTGGCCCCAGCATTACACCACTGGTATAATGCATATTTCTGTTTTCAGTTATATGGTAAGAATGCTAATGGCTTGCATTTTAGACAAGATGTTACAAAGTATTAAGTTTGACTAATAATTTATTATGCTTGCAGTGGTTTTGGGAGGTTGTTTCTGAAATGTCACCAGAAGAACGTGTTCTTCTTTTGCAGTTTTCTACAGGGAGGTTAGTTTGAAATAATTAACAATATTAATTAATTAATATGTTGGAAAGACAAGCCAAACCAGTCACTTGTCGCAAATCGTGTTTCTGAGATAATGGCCAAAACATGCTGGAATGTCAAAATTGTTGAAATCTGTTTTATGGCACTAAACTAATCGTTATATATCTATAAATCAGGCTATGTTGTTATTTTCCCCTTTTTCAATGTTAAAACATAAATTTTTAACGATTTTGTGATGGTTTCTGCCTGAGAAACTTTAAAGGCTGATTTATCAAATAGTGTTCTTTAAACAGCTCTAAGACATACCCAGGCGCTGATTGCGGAAAGGACCATGTTCCAGTGATATGTAAACTGATGGTAAGGTTACAGAAACTGAAAAAACTAAAGGCCAGACCAAAACTGCAGTATGAAAAACTCCATAATGACCCCATTTGCAAGGAGGCATACACAATTGCAGTTGGAGGCTGTAGCAGATGTTGAAGAATCAAAGTGGAACACATTAATAGAAGCATTAGTGTCGTCGGCAAAGGATGTTATCCCAAAGAAAGAGACAAGCAAAATGTAAGTGGATGACAAGTGAAATACTTGACCTAATGAAAGAAAAGCAACAGGTGTACCAGAGATACAGTATAGAGTACAGAAGACTGGACAAGAACAGAAATGTAGACAAGCAAAAGGGGAATGGTTAAATGAAAAATGTGAAGAGATGGAAAAGGTGAAGAACACAGACCCAGGTGGTATGCATAAGAAGATAAAAGAAATAGTAGGAAAAGTGTATGCTCTTCATCCGGATGCATTAAATCGAAGGCAGGAATGATTTGATTGAATACATCTGAGAATTATTTCATGACAACAGAGGAGAGAAACCCACAATAAATAAATGCATGGATGGACCTAAGATCCTGAAATCTGAAGTACTAACACCAATGGTCAAAATGAGAAGGAACAGGGTAGCAGGACCAGATGAGATTGTCATAGAGATGCTGACAGCACTGGAAGATTTTGGAATTGAAAAGGTGATAAATGAAGTATACAATAGTGGAGAAATACCAGAGAATTTAAGTAAGTATTAATCTTTATAGCATTTCAAAGAAACCAGGTTCAAATGAATGCAAAATGCATCGAACAATCAGCCTAATGAGCCATGTAATAAAGTTAACACTGAGAGTTCTACTAAATAGGGCTCACAGCAGAATACGACCGGAAATAGTTAAAGAACAGTGTGGTTTTCTGGAGGACACAGGAACAAGAAATGCAATTTTTATGATCAGAAGAATGTCACAGAGAGCAAATGAAATGCAGAAAGAGCTATTCCTGTGTTTCGACTACCCAAAGGCATTTGACAAGGTACAACATGAAGGACTACTAGGTATGTTAGAACGGTTAGATATACATGGCAAATATATACGACTAATCCGCAATTTGTATTGGGAACAAACAGCATTTATGAAAATTGAGAATGCATTTAGTGAATACATCAAAATAGACAGAGGAGTACGACAGGGATGTGTTCTGTCACCAGACTTATTTAATTTGTATACCGAAATGATCTTAAGAGAATTAGAGGATTTGTCAGGTTTTGTGATCGGTGGACGTAACATCAAAAACGTGCGCTACGCAGATGATATTGTACTGATCGCAGATACAGAGGAAAAGTTAAAAGAACTGCTGGAGAAACTAGTTGATGAAAGCAGGAAGAAAGGACTGACCATCAATTGTAAAAAGACAGAATGTATGGTCTTAAGCAAAAGAGACAGCCCAAGGTGTGATTTATAGATCAGCGACGTCAAAATCAAGGTCCACAAAATAAACTGTTTTGGTAGTGTGTTAACAGAGGATGGAAAGTGCGATTCAGATATTTGAAGACGTATAGCAATAGCTAAAGATGCATTTCAGAAATTGGCTAAAATTTTGAAGGATTGAAAGCTAGCAATAGAAACAAAGAAGAGAGTATTAGCCTGTTATGTAGTGACTAGTCTTTTATACAGTAGCGAGTGCTGGACAATATCAGCACAGATGAAGAAAAGACTTGAAGCAGCTGAAATGTGGTTTTATCGACGAATGTTGAGAGTATCATGGACAGAGCATGTTACAAATGAGGACGTTTTAAAGAAATTAGGAACTGTAATGAGAGTGATGCCGATGATCAGAAAGAGACAGCTTGAGTTTTTGGAACATGAGGAAGGAAGGTCTGGAAAAATCTAACCTTTACGGGGTGCATCAAGGAAAGAGAAGCAGAGGAAGGCAACGGTTGACTTACTTGAATAACATTAGCAAATGGATGGCTGAGCAGTTTACAGCAAGTCAGCAAGAAGTGAAAGAGCAAGATTGCTGAGAAAAACAAAAAACTGAGTGTTGTGGAAAACCATGAGCGCCGACGTCATGGTACATAGAAGAAAATGTTTGAACACTTGTAATTCATACGGAAATGTCTTCGACCATTTTACATCACCCTTTTACTGTTACCCTGTATTAATAACTAAGAATCAATTTTTGCGACCAGTGACTGGTTTGACTTGTCTTTGCCACATATGTAATTTTTGGCAATCATTTATGGTCATAAATACTACAGTACATGTTACAATTTGCACCAGGGAAATATCCTAGGAGTGATGTTTTTGCCCACCTGATGTATTATTGTACTGAATAGCATTGCAGTACCCACTGCTATTTGGGGATCAAATTCACCGCTGGTCACTAATCGCAAGCTCAAAAAGGTAGTGGTTATTACACCAGGCTAGTTAAGAGGAGATTGTTTTTTCCCTTCCTACCCGAATCACTTTTGAATATTTTTTGCAAATATTTGGGAACCTACTGAGTGAGTATTAATGGCAAAAACAGCACTCTCCTATGTCACAGTTTGTTTTTATTTTTAATATTAATTAAATGTGTACATGTCAATCAACTGAAATAAAATGTGAAAAGTATTTGTACCATTTGTGTGGTCTGCAATTTTTTTTTAAGTTAATCTTATTTTGTGTATTTTCACACATTTTTATGTTCTTTCATGCTTTGTATTCCTTTTACCCCAATTTTAATATTTCTCTTCTTTTTTTTTTGTGTCTTCATTTGTACTTCGTTTTATTATATTTAATTATTATTAATAACTTTGTATCTGAAAATTGTAATCCAAATTGTATTTTGTGGGTATTGAATTATTGAGTTATTTTTTATTGCTTGGTCTTTTTAGTTTATGGAATTTTTAATTGTAAATTTGATGCAATTCAGGTATAAATCAACTATTAATCAACAATTTTCCTTGGATATGCTTACTTCTTAAGATCATTTAATTTCCTTTCAGCTCACGTGTACCGCATGGTGGATTTTCACATCTCATCGGAGGGAGTGGAATTACTAAATTCAACATCTCTGCTATGAACTATCAGTTTAACGTCCTTCCTACCACAAGCACATGGTAATAGCTTCCTCTATTACGATTCATCTATAAAGGACCATCTCCAAAATCATGAATGTCTCATGTATTATTTGTATTTTTTATTGTTTTATTGAGTATGGTCATCAAGCTTAGTCTATAATGTCTCTATAACATTTTAGTAATCTGCAATCATAAAAAAAAAATAAAATTGGTCTTATTTAGTTTTTGTTTGTTGTCTGCTATATTCTTATCGTGATAATGTGGTATCCCTTGTTTTCATTTCATGAAATTATTTTTTTTTGCTTTAGTGTGAACATGTTGAAGCTACCAGAATACAAGAGTAAAGAAGAGCTGAAGGATCGCCTGCTTGTTGCTCTTCGTTGTGGAAGTCAGGGATATGGCATGGCTTAATGCCTTCAAGTTGACACCATTAAAAATTATTATTCGTGTTGGACATACACTTACCATTCATTCCAAGTAGCCTTGATAACCAGTGATGTAGTCTATTAGAGCCACTCTCTTAACCAAGGCTGTAATTCACTATTATTTCTTTGTATTCTATATGACTATATGGTAATATTGACTAGGTCAATTACAGGTCTCCCTCAAATTAAAGGCCACTTCTAGGACTTTGGTTTCTAATTAGAATAGTAAAGAAAAAAGACAGTTGTTAATTTGGGACCGCAGAAAAGTGGTCTGTAATTGAAGGTGGTCTTTATTTGGAGGGGTCTTTAAGGAAAGAGAGACCTGTACTAGTGTACCACTATAGAAAGGGAGGTGGGATTACCTTGTAGCCACTTCTCCTAGACCAGCAGATTGTAAGTGGCTGTTTGTCAATGTTTGACAAATCAAAATGTAGGCCTATATACCATACAGTAATGGATTCTTCTTTCCTATCAATCTCCACTGCTTTAGGCAATGGTTTGCTGCCCTCTAGTGTCTTCAGTTAAGACTGAATACATATATAATGTTTAATGATTATACAGTAGTTAATTAGTTTTGAAGACTTTCATAATTTGATAGCAGCCAGGTTTGTCTGTATCTTGAAGTGTTAAATATTGAGTTTTATAGAGTTATATATTAGATAAATTTATACAAGTGTAATAGAAATGCAGTCAGTGATAGTGTAATAAAATAAAATGGATATATATTTATATGTTAGACAGTAAACCAAGTACAGTACTGCTGAAAACGACTATGGACTCTGGAGATGCAAAGGTGCCCGTGGCGCTTCGGTTGTGGCTCGAAACTCTTGCTGTGCAAGTCGCTTGTGTCCTTGGGCAAGGCACTTTATCTACGGTTGTCTCTTTCCACCCAGGACTACAAGTGGGTACCTGGTAGGTTCAAACACAACCAACCATGCGCTGATTACAGCTGCAACATTATGGGGCATGAGTGTTGCGTTCCATGTCCTTGATCCAGTGACAGGGGGTAATAATGTAAAGCGCATTAGTCGACAATTATTATTATTTATGTCGTCACCATATAGCTACAGCCTTTTTAAATGTTTAGTTGTCAAATTTTAACCATTAGAGAATTGGAAATAGATGGATTTTTTCCTGTTGTTTATACCCTGGTGCCCGAGCCTTTTACTGGGTTTGTGTTTTAAGTGACAAGGTGTAAGGTGTGCGGTAGGCGAAGCCCCTGGAACGTATGACCTTTTAGGTTTTAAAACAAATATTAGCCAATATTCTGTGGAGGAAAATATTTTATGAATGGAATGTAGGGGCTCAGAGGGGTAGAGTGACAGGGCAGGAGGGTTTATAATAATATAAATAATAATTCCATTCTTCTGTAGTGCATTCCGCAACAACAAGTTGTAATGCGCTTTACATCAAGAAAAGATAAACAAGCAGTAAATAATTTTGACTTAAAATATGGTACTTAAACTAAAAACAGTTCCAAAAGTGCATGTGCAGATCAGTATAAGTACTCCGTTAGTCCTCTACTACCATGCACTGCGAAAGACAACGACGTCGTCTCGAGTAAGGAACAGGAGGGACCCAGCTCTAGACACCCGACAAAAGACAGCACATCCATCGGCAATAAAAACCTCTCCAGATGAAAAAATATATATTCGTTCAATGCAGAAGACACTTTATTTAATTTATCACATCAGTGGTCTGAGTGCCTATAGGGACCTTGTTTGCTCTTCTTTTGGTGCTGCTGACTATACACGTTTTATTTATTTCTTTTTCTTGTAAGTCAAGTACTGTAGTATTTGTTTTATTAACATAATTTATTGCTGTCTTTCATGGCAACAATGTGTTGTATATTTTTTGCGTGTTAATGACTTAGAAAGTTCTCTAAAGAGGGTGCACTGTATAATTAACTAGCTGAAACACTAGCAAAGTGAAATTGTCTCCTTTCATAAGTTTATACTGTATAAAATGTACGTTACAATAACAATAGTGCCAATTGAGACAATGGTATATAAACAGTATTTTTATTCTCATTACATATTTATGTGTCTTATTAAAATTCATACACACTTCTCATAATATTTTGTCTTAATAAAATTTATACACAATTTTCATTTTTTTTTCATTAAACATCAAATATAGTTTTAAAATGTATCAATGAATATTCATAATCATATAAATGTAAGCAATAAATATTAAATTCATACATTTAAACAAAATCAATTAGTTGCCACTATATAAGCCACTGTAACACCTTAATTGTCATATTTTCGGGGCTTCGCCCTTGGACCACTTTCTATGGTTTTGAGCGACGCCCGACCACGACTACTTCCCCTCGTCGCGGAACAGGCTTCTAATTCAACTTCAGTCATTTAGGAATAATATTCTTGCAAAGACAACTGGGCAGAAATCCAATATTGGTAAAAATAGAACTTAAGACAGCTGATGAAAGTGATAACACGCCTATTGCGAGGATAAGTTTACTTAGGCCTACCTAACAAAAGATAAAAAAAAAATACATACAAAATAATATGAAGCAAATAGACACTGCTTATAATAAGAATAATAAATTAAATGCTAATAATAATATCCATGTAAATTATTAGATAAGGCTATTCAATATCTGAAGGCAATGAATGAGACGTAAAGTCAATGTGACTTCAGAGTAGGCCTACCTGGTTGATAAATAATACGTTCTTCTAACCGTTAGGATTAGTTCAGATGAGTTGCAATGCTCAATACCAGTTAGACCTTCTATGCATTTTAACGTCATATGATTATCGTTGAAGTGTAGAGCTATAAGAAGACTGGTGCGTTGAGGGTGATGGAGCGCAAATGCTCTACAAATATATCTCTGAGTCTTTTTTTGCTTTCTCTTATGTATATCTTTTGTCACTTAAAAAAAAATAACATAAAATTACACTCCTGGAAATACAAGTAAACGTGTCTTGAATTCTAAACATATTTAGTAATCCTTCAATATTATCAGGCCTACATACGACATGATTAGACGTTTACACTATGTATGTGCATGCCACATTCTCTCGTGCCAATATCTTGATCTGGCGATGGCAATGAGTAGGTATATATATGATCCATTTCTTTGAAATAACCATCTTTTCTGTGTAGTGCTGGCCAATACAATGGATAGTTTATTTGACTAGTCTCTGCAATTAACACCCTTGGTTCTTTATTATTGTAGATACTCAGTATGCATAGATAAATAGACCAATCATTTTACAGTTTTATAAGTATTTCTCATTTGCTCTCTGTCACCTTTATTCTTTTTTGATAAAACAGCCTATATT